CAATTTTAGACGTGAAGTGTTTAATGCCTTGCACAATTTGGCACATCCTGGAATCCGTGCCACCAAAAAGCTGATCGCAGACAGATTTGTCTGGCCAGCGATGAATCAAGACATCACAGAATGGACTCGTTCATGTATTAGATGTCAACGGTGTAAAGTATCCCGTCACACTCACAGTCCCATTCAACAATTTAACCTTCCAGCAAGACGCTTTGATCATGTGCACTTAGACTTGGTTGGCTCATTGCCTCCTTCAAATGGTTACACTTACCTCCTCACTTGTATTGATCGGTACACAAGATGGCCTGAAGCCATTCCTATTGAAAATATATCCGCTGAAACTGTAGCTCGAGCATTCATCTCCCAGTGGCTTTCAAGATTTGGCATGCCTACCACCATCACTACTGACCAAGGCCGACAATTTCAATGTCACTTGTTCGCATCCCTCACCTCTCTTCTTGGCATTCGCCATATTCGCACAACACCATACCATCCATCTGGAAATGGGATGGTGGAACGCTTTCACCGATCTCTCAAACAAGGTCTGAAGTGCCACAGTAGCACACACTGGACAGAAGCCTTACCCCTAGTCTTGCTTGGTCTTCGCACAGCATTCAAAGAAGACATTGGTAGCACTTGTGCTGAAATGTTATATGGTGCAACCCTCCGTCTGCCAGGTGAATTCTTTCACCCAGAATCTACTCCAGTTATCGACCCTCCAACATTCCTTCAACGTTTACGTGAGACCATGAGCAATATCTCGCCAACCCCAGCATCTTCGCATAACCAGCCAAGCTATTTTGTACATCCTGCGCTTGAGACATCTTCGCACGTATTCGTGCGCAACGATGCAATTAAGCCAACTTTAACACCTTCATATGATGGTCCATTCAAAGTTGTCAAACGAACACCGAAACATTTCACCATCATCTGCAATGGCAAACAATCAGTGATTGGAATCGATCGTCTCAAACCAGCATTTCTAATGCAAGATCCAACAACTTCCTCATCAACATCACTCCCGGAAGAAAGCTTACATCCCGTTAAGGAGCAACCTAAAACTACCAGATCTGGAAGAAAGGTTAAATTTAACCCAAAGTACTTATAACGTACCGATGGTACTTGGGGGGGGGAGTACTGTGGCGTTCCGACAGATACTTCAACTTCTATTCATGAGATGGCGCCACGTGTAAAATCCAGTTCTTAATCGGAGCAGCAAAGCGACATCTTTACTCACTCAGACTCCTCGACACACAACTGTACGCGAAGGTAGCACGAACTGTGTTCCGAGCTCTGTGTTGATCTCTGCAATGTAATTTAAATTGTAATTTAGTATTTAATATATTCTTTTGTTATAGGAGATTGTCTACTCTTATTTTCTTTAATTATATCATGCATTAAGCACACACGACCACCAAAGACGTAAAGACTGAAGTAATTGTTAAGTCCTTTAAGAAGTACGGAATCAGTAATGCTCTTGACGGAACAGAAGACGATGCATTATTCGAAGAAGGTGATACTAGCGATGACGGAAACAGTAGTGATGACGATATTCTCGTTTTCGATGATGATGATAGTGAAAAGGATTCTTATGGTTTTGAAAGTGATTAAAGTTAAAAAATTTCATGATAGGCAACGTTTTCCTTGAATCTGTGTTTTTTGTTGTTTCTGCTTTATTTTTGTATTATGTTTGAGTGCTTGCTGTTCATTCATTTATTCATTATTGAAATTTACATATAATGTTCAAAATAGCTTGCCGTTTGTGTGAATTTTCCTTAATAAAAATATGTTTGGTAATTGCATTCAATGATTGTTTATTTGACTTTCACGAAACGGGAGAACTAAAAGAAACCACATTTTAAGTTATTGTGGTATCGCCCTATCGCGTGGACTATTGAAACTTTTTTTCCTTGTGTGTGGCCTTCTAAATAAGGGTGCGTCTTATATGCCGTCAAATACGGTAACTATTTCAGATTATTTTAATTTGGATGAAATGTTAATTTCATATAATACAATTTTTATTACTTTAATTTAAAAAAAAAAAAGGCTAAATATACCTGAAATTAAACGGGAGGCATAAAATTTGGTACTATTCCGTTTTGAGGACCGTAAAAAAATTGCGGCGAAAATGTATGCGCAAAGCTCCAAATCTAGCAATTTTAACACTGCGCCAAATCTAGCGTAAGCGCTGATTTCAGATTGCGTAATTTTATTATAGTTCTATATTTCTTAAGACGCCATTGAAATACTAGTTTAATTTTTAAATCCTTTTTTGATATCCTATGGATTTAACAATTTGGGAATTACCTATGACGAAAAGTGTGCAATAGAATTTTGGGTAAAGTGCAGAATCACCCACTGCTTGACGCATTTTAAAGAATTGCACATACTCGGTATTCATGTACACATTGACTTATTTTCACTTCACCCCCCCCCCAAAAAAAAAACACCCAGAATTGCACAAAAATGGCACTGCACACACCCTGGACTTTATCTATGTACACATCGAGCTATTTTCACTTAAAAGTAAAAGAAATTTGACAAAATTCCAATTGTTTTTACCCTTGTAAAAAGCCGCAAACAAATAAGTGGGCAATTCTTCACTTTACCGAGAATTTTTTCAAAGAAAAGGCATCATTCATTATAGAAAATTATGCTTGAGCAACCAACGAGATGAAACTATTATTTAGCGATAACTCGGTAGCGAAATATCGATGCAGGCATCCATTCAGTTAAGTTTAGCAATTTTTATATAAATTATAATAATGATCTGAAATAGTTATTTATTCTTATGCTTGCATTCAGTCATGTTTAGCCTTTTTTATATAAATTATAATAATAAAAAAGTATTATATGAAATTAACCTTTCATCTAAATTAAAACATCAATCTTAGATAGTTATTTACTATTATACTTCCTTTCTTGCGTTAGGGTTGCCGTAATTATATTTGGCAGCACTTGGCATCAACAATAGTCTGGCGATTTTTTACGGCAGTACCTAAAATTTTTTATGTCTTCCAACATAGCAGAGAAAATTTCAGTTTTTTTTGCAAACGTCTGTATATAAACTGGGACAAATAAGAATTGAAATGCTGTCGAGCGGTGCCCCGATGGCCTTTATTACGCCATTTAGCACTGCCCCACAGCCTGTTTGTGTACGACACCCACTTTCGCGGTCCAAAAAATTGTAATTGTGGTTGACGGTAAAGTGTTCAAAACCGGCATCTTGCAGTTCATCCGACTTGTATGATTTCCAGCCAGTCGGTATGAATTAATGCTTCCTTTCCTAGTTCGGTCCGAGGTTCGAATCCCGCGAACGGGCTGGCTGCATGGGTGTTTTCGTGGTTTTCCCCATGTGTAACGTGTATACGAGTCAGTTTCCCTTAGAAAGTCCTCCACGAAGGCATCCCTCCCCTTAGATAGCCGTCGAAGCTTTGCCATAATTAAAAATGACCTTTTGCGATATTTTCCTTTATGATGTTCAATAAGGTTTTCGCCGATTGATCTGGAACAGTGACTTAAAAACATTCATTCGATTCTCTGTATAATTTTCCGAAAACCCGTTGTGGCGGAAGAACACATCCAACGTTATTCTTTATTTTACTGAAAAGGTTTTCTACTTCAATAATTTTGCCACATCCGCCGATTTTCAACTTAGGTCGAGCAAAATTAAAGCTGCGGCACACACCTCATGCATGCAACTGTTCGAGTCTACAACTGTTATAATTTCATCTCGTGGTTGTTCAAACATAATTTTCTATCATGAATGATACTTTTTCCTTGAAAAAATTCTATTGGAGACTTTTCATCACTGGGCAGTTCCCGGATTGTTAAGTCTGTGGCGTTATCAAAAAAGAATTAAAAAATTAAACTATTATTTCAATGACGAGGACGACTTACAAATATAGAAATATCTGAACTTACGCAATTTAAAATGAACGCGTTCCCTAGATTTGGCGCGCTGTTAAATTGGCGCGTTTGCTAGATTTGGCGCTTTTGCGCATACATTTTCCCTGCAATTTTTTTACGGTCTCCAAAACGGAATTGTACTTCACTGGGTATATTCCGCACTTCTAATACCTACTGTTTTTAATAAGCTATATTTTGCTATAAGACTCCGACTACTGTTTTGCTAAGCGACCACCGCGAAAACGGAATATAGACATTCTTATGGATAAATAAATACACATTACGGGCTAAAGTGCAGAATCGCCCAATTATTTGTTTGGAGCTTTTTACGAATCGCCCAATTATTTGTTTGGCGCTTTTTACAGTAAGAAGAATTGGATTTTTTGTGAAAATAGGTCGATGTGTACATGGATAAAGTCAAGGGAGTGCACAATGCCATTTTTGTGCAATTCTGGGATTTTTTTTAAGTGGAAATAGGTCGACGTGTACATGGATACCGAGTATGTGCAATTCTTAAAAACGCGTCGGCAGTGGGCGATTCTGCACTTTCCTTCATTACGGCCTGGTATTGCCAAATTGCGAAAACTCGCCAAATTTCGTTCTTCGAACTTTATGGTTGCCGCTTTATACAATGATATTAACATTTCCGTCAAAAGAGCAAACTGAAACAAAAATATTGGCTTATTTATATATTTATCCAGCTCAGATATTAACACAGTAGTATGTTTTAATACTACTGTGTTAATATCTGAGCAAAATTATATACTAATATAAGCAACTATTTGTCCAGTAAAAGTGAAAAAGAAAGAAAGAAAGGTAAAGCGAGATAATACATTTTAATGGTGAAAAGGATTAATTAAAAATTCAGTGCTTGCCATTTATGTGTTTTTAACATGAAAATAAAATGAATGCAGAATTTTGCTCTTAACTTTCTTTTCTTTGATAGTATTGATATAAGTGATCTTATAAATAATTTTGAGTGAAAGTAAAAAAAGGCTAATTTTCTTCAACGAAAATATTTATTTTATTAATCACCAACAATCTGTTTTTTTTTTTTAAATGGCTGTATTGTATGTTTTATTTTCTTATAGAATCAATGATAGGCTAGTCAGTGCCAATGGAATCTCTCTAGAAAATGTGGATTATACAAGGGCTGTACAAGTATTAAGAGAATGTGGCAATTCTGTAAATCTGGTAAAATCAACCTGCTGTATAATTTTGTTGTTGTTATTATTATTCTCTTGTAAAATTTATGAACAGTATGTGAAATTAATTTGTACTTTTTCATTCTCAGGTCATTAAGCGTAAAGTAACCTCAACAAACAACTCACTCAACTCACAAGCTGTAAAAGTAACATTAACAAAAAGCAAAAAGAAGGATGGTTAGTTTTTTTTTTTTTTTTTTTAAGTTGTAATAAATTACTGTTACAAATAGATAATAATAAAAGCTGTATGAATTATTGTATAAATAATAAAATGTGATGGTGTTTTTAAATAAAATTATACAATAATAAAATAAATAGTATATATTTTAATTTTTTATTTTCTATTATTTATCATAACCTGTGAATATGAAAGATTTTTTAACAGTCTGATAGAGGCACACCAATTCAGATGACAGAAAAGTCTCAAAGAGTAAATAAATTAGCAATAAATTCTTAGTGTAAGAATTGAGGTGTTTTTTCCTGATTTATTTACTCTCATTAACTTTTTTCTTGTTTAACATATTAAATGTATGTAATCTTTTTGACATATTTGAATATAATTTATATGTAATCCTTTTTGAAAATGTATTGTTTGAGATTTACAAATCAATGCTTTGTTCAATATAATTGGTTTATTAAAATATTTAAATTATTTTAGCATTTGAAATAATAATAAAAATGATGTTCTTGTAGATTTTGGCATCATCCTTGGCTGTCGAATATATGTAAAAGAAATTACAAATCAATCTAGTATAGAAAAGGATGGTGCAGTTCATGAAGGTGATATTATATTAAAGGTATGGTTTTATTAATTTTAAATGACTGATTTTTATATCATTTTTAATGTAAATTCAAAATATTTTTTATGTTTTTCAAACTTGTATTAAAATATTGCTTCAGAAAGATGATATAGATTGTTGGTTTTTACAGATAAATAGCAGTAGCACAGACAGTATGACTCTAAAAGAAGCAAAGAAATTAATTGAAAATACTAAAGAAAAGCTTCAACTAGTAATCAAAAGGGACTCTAACAATTCAATGAATAATAATTCTACTGGTCAGCAGGTTTCTAGCAATGGTATGTGATCTTGTAGTTTAAAAACATTTTCCATCTAAAAAAGTTGCTTATTTTTCAGTTTAAAAATATTTTCCTTTTTTCTTTTCTGTACCTTGGGATCTCAGTTTGTCTCTTCAAATTTTAATTTTTTTGCAAAAGCAATTTTTATTTTGCTTCTTGGGATATAGCGAAGACTCCATAAAGTAACTGCATGCATTTTCAAATGATTTTGATCTTATATGGAGAGTATTATTTCAGAAAGCTTATCTCTTTTCAATTTAAACATGATTGTAATTTAATTTCATTTCTGTGGAGCAGTGAGATTTTGTGGTACATATAGTTAATAATAATAAACTGTTTTCCAGAAAAAAAAAAAAAAAAAAAAAATCGTTCTGAAATTTTTCTCTATGCTATCTCTAAATAAAAAGCAAAAAGCTGCAGCTTCTGCAACAAAAAAAAAAAAAAAAAAAAAAAAAAAAAAGTGCAAAAGAGCAAAAATAAGATTGCTCAGAGAGCAATATTATCATGAAATGATTCATAGAAAATGGAGTTTTTCATGTGAATAAATAGTAAATTTCGCATCATCAAGGAGTGTGGCCACCTAGGTGCTGTGTATGCTCGGCATATCGTTCACAGCATTGTTCAGAAGAATTTGATTTCCTTTTTTGCTTGCAAGGCAATTTTAGTGAAGAATTTAAATTCAAAATTCCGAATTTAAAATAATAGTTTCTGCTAAGCCTTATGTTCATTGAAAGCATTCCTGGCATTTTCCGGGATGCAAATCCAGGGAATCATGTCTTGATATTCTCACTCTATAGCACCTGAGTTATTTTAATTGTGTTGGCAAGTATTATCTGTATATACAAAGTCTGGACCCACTGTGTCATTTAAAAAAATAGATAGATAGATAGGAACAAAGGGGGGGGAAATGAAGGCATCCAGCAAAATTTTTATATGATGTCCTTCTTTCATGACAGATCCTGTTGCTAAGATACATAGTGAAGTTCTGCTATGTGTGATGATTTGCATGATCACTTATATGATGTCATATGACCACTTTCCATTTATAACAACCAGTGTTACAGGGATTTTTGTTGCCACGAACATATTTCCTACTCCTACAAATCCACATTCAATAGTTAATGTCCACAAATTGCTCTTAACAAAGAATTCTGATTTATTACAGGACTTCACATTTAACTGCACTTGATCATCTTTATGATGATGCTCACAATACCATGCATGACTGCACTTAAAGCTACAATGCATTTATATCTGACAGGCATCTATGCCTGTTCTGTATTTGTATATATGAGACATTATTCAGTTGATTAATAATTTTGGTATGCATATGGTGCCTGCAGCACTTACAAGATCTGCAGATGTGGATACGGGGGGAGCATTTCTTTTCTAAAAGAAAAATATTCTGATCCTTTTAGGTTGTGCTTCATCCGAAATTGTCTGTATTCACATATCCCTCAGGAAACGCATCTTTTTCAATACAGAAATCACATTTTTAAAGACAATCATTGCTGTCAAAGCCTGAGCAACATTTTTGCTCTTCAAGATATTCATTTGTGTTTGTTCATGGTCAGATGTGCAAATGTGAGATCATGGAGATGTTCTACACTGAATCTTCATTGTAAAATGCAATATTCTGCTAAAAATCTGTGGTACCATCTTCTGACATCTGTAACAAGTTTTTCCATGTATAAAATTGCAAATCTTACAAACACATTGTAGTTGATGTCAAGTAAAAGCAGCCTTCAAAGCATTTTCATCTGTAAAAATGATAGAGGTTGCAACAGAACCTTTTTCAAATTTTTCTATGGCTCTGCTTTAAATAGGTGTGATATAATTATTAAAAAAGTACATTAGTTTAATTGCATCATTTAAAATGACACATTTTTCTGTTTTAAGAGTTTTTCTAACATTACTCAAAAAATAGACCTGTTTCATTTGTATATTTTTGGTTAGTTATGTTGATTACAAATTTGAGTTATAGTATTTTAATACAGTTACTCTACATACATAAAATTTGATTATTAAATAAATTACATAATTGTAATTTTGAAGTATTAAAAAGTTCTCCTTTTTTGGTTCATAATTATTCATATTTGTTGGTCATTGAAGTTTCTTTTGCAAATGAGAAATATATTGATAGTATTCTCTGTCATCTGTTTTGACAGAATTCATTATTAGTTTTTGTCATGATGCAGAAAACTTAATACAATGCAAAATAAATAATAAAACATGAGGAGAATCCAGATTCTTATTTTCACTTCAGCATTGGCGCCAATCTGGTAAATCATTATATATTATTTCTTACTTTCATCACCACATGACTATTAACACACTGCAGCCTGAGAAATTTCTTATGCAGCAATGTCTAAAAAATTTTGTTTTTAATATTTGTAATTGAATATCATAGAGCATGGCAACCTTTTTTATTGACTTTACAATTGGTGATGATTACAGACTTCAGCTAACTCTGCTGTGAAGTTTTGAGTGTATTGACCAGGACAAATTTAACAAGAATTTCTTTCCACGCAAAAATAGATTTTGTAAACGATACTTGTAGGTGAAAAGATTACATTTAGTGCTATTTGAATTGAGAATAACTGATTTTTTATTCAGATATGCCCAAGACTAGCATCACAATTAGTGCAGCCCCACTGGCCAGCAGAATTTAGGGGAGGCAAAATTTTTAGAATTTTAAGAAGCACTGAGCAATAAAGTTAAGGGATGGCAAAATCATTAGAATTTAGGTGCTTTAAAATTTATAGAATTTACAGAGGCAACTGGCAGCAAAATTTTGAAGCCACAGAGGCCTGTACCAGGCTGCAGAATGACTAGTATGGCCCTGCCTAAGTCTGCTGCTCATTTTAAGTATATATGGGAATTTATTTTTTCAAGGCCAGAGTAGCTTTAAGCTTGTGTAGAAAATATGCATGAGTATAATAAATAACTGATATAATACAATCTTAACTTCGTCAGTGTGCAATAGAAAGAAAACAAAATTTATAGGAGCAACATATCTTAATTTGCCAGTCTCGTGATACATTGCCAGTAAAGTTTATGGTGGATGCTAGCAAAGCTTTATGACAGGCACAGATTTAAAGGTGTTCAGCTATTGCAAACAAAAAGCAAGATTTTCCAGTTAATGGAATGTTTAAAAAAGATGTGGAGAAGCCGGAATAAATGAAGATGATATAACCAAAGTTTTTCACTATAATGACAATGTCCAAATCATTTGTCAACTAACAGATGGCAAAATCTGAAGTATGCTTCTAAATCCTGAAAATATTGCAATCAATGGAGAAGTGACTGAGAGGTTGTTGAGAATTTAAAAAAATTTCAGTTGACAATTTAATGGGAATTCCTGTCATGATAAGTACAGGACTTGAACGACTGAACTTTGTAACTGAACAAAAAATTATGTCTATCCATAGAATTAGAAAGTATTAACATAATTAAACAGTTTACACTGAAAGGAATGTTAAATAAAACAAACTTTTTTTTTTTTTTTTTTTTTTTTTTTTTTTTTTTTTGTAAATTTTGATTTTTTTAAGGTCATAAATGCTTCATTATTTCATAAATCATTTTTTCATATTTTAAATTTTATAATTTCTGCATGTCATGTTATTAGATTTTAAACTGATGATCTAATATCCAAAAAAATCCCCAATCCAGAATCACCGAAGCCCTGATGAGTCCAGATCTTGGATTTAGCTCTGTACTTTTTGATATCCATCCATTTAACAAACTATCACTAACAAGCATTGCCTTTCATTATTTTAACAGCCTTGTTTAAACATTCTCTTAAACATAAATGCAGTTTGACCCATTGTTGATCTAAAGAGTTGAGTTTGATTGCACTAGTAAACATTACTTAACATTGTATATATTAGTCACTATTACTTTAAATTAAAAAACAGTACTTAACACTGAATCACATGAAGTACCTAGAAAGCTGCCAGCACTGATCACAACTCCTAAGGTGCTGTCTTAATTTTAACTTATAAATATGGATAATCAAGAGCATTAAACTTTTTTCATGTATTGCTTTTGCATGTAGTTTTCTTTGCATGGTATTTTCCTTCATGTTTCAAGACTTTTAATACCTGCTGTAAAATATTTCTGTCATCCTGATTAGTAAAGTTGTTAGTGATGCCAGCTGCTGTATATTGTTGGGCCCAAGTTCAAATCACAGAGAAGACCTTAACATTTATAAGTGTATAGTGTTTTTGTGGCATGAATGCACTTAACTGGTGAGCCAAAAGTTCTCTTAAGAGGTTGAGTGTTAGGGGAAGAAAAGGGTGAAAAATCATTGGATCCATTCCCCTGGCTGTTCTCTATCAGACTGGAATGGAGCTGTACAGTTAGTGCAGTGGAACCATATTTGTACAACCATAGGTGTGAAACTCTGGTTTCCAGATTTCTTCTTCCTGTCTTCTGAAATCTGTCTAAGTGATTCCACTAAATTTTCATATTTTCAAATGTGCATTATTTCATGTTATTTAAATATATAAATTTATTAATATATTTTATCATTAAATAAAAATTAAAATATCAGGCATGGCATGTATGTTAATGCACGCTGCTGTTGTATTATTTTAAATGTCCTGTTGTTCTTTCAGCTTTTGTTTACTAACATCCTTCTTCCTAATCCAAATCTTATTCATTTTTAAATATGCTCATCTTTGTGTCTGCCCTGCATTGGTCTATAATTTTATTTTTTAGATCATTCATCATCACCACTTAATTCATTAGAAGCTACTGCTGAACGATCTCATTGGAGCAATCAGAATTTATATGTTCAGCCCCCTACTAGAGGTCAGCCTCTTATTCCTTTTAAATCTTATCTGTTTTTTTGAATTTTTAATTAAACAATGGTTGAGAAGAAAACACATATACACTGCAGTGCAAAAGTTATATCGTAAATACCAAAAATTGAAAATCAAGTGGAAAAATTGCAATAAACTTGACATTGAAGTAACATGAATAATAATTTATAATACATTGCAAAATGATGTTAATACATCTATAGTGCTTCTGAAAAACAGCAGATGATGAAAACCATAACACAAGCATAAGAATGAGAATACAAAAAGGTACTCTCTGTAGCCTTAATAAATTACATAATCATTCCAGAAACTGATAAAAGTTTCACAGTACTCTCGCATACTGTCTAGTATTGTGCAAATAAGTTCGAGGAATAGCCTGTTGTGTTAATATACAACATGCATGTCAAACTCAGTATCTCAAGTGGATCAAATAATAGTGTCAACCACAAGGATTTAAAAAAAAAGTATCATTTTCATACTTAATGATATTTTAAAACGTGAATAAATGAATTCTTACCCAATACTGCAGTTCTTTTAAAAAATAAAAAAAATCATAAATGAAACATTAGATACCTTTTTTTTTTTTTTTTTTTTTTTTCCCCCAACACCTGGCATTTTTTTCCCTGTAACCAGTTTTTGGATGTCTGGAGGTTAGTGATTTTCAGAGCATCACATACATTTAGAAAGTTGTGGCTTTCTGGGAATCATACAGATAAGTGTTTGTAAAATTCTGTGATACCCACTTCCCTGAATCTTTGTTTTAGAGTAGGATCACATTATTTATGTTAACTATATATCTATCTTAATGTCAGTTGAAAAATTATTATTTTTTTTTTTAAAGACCATCTCAAGAGACCTTTTTGCAGAGGTTGTGTATACATCTTGATATTCATTGGAACTCCAGTTTTTATTAATATATTATAATTAAATATATTTCATTTCCTTGTGATAACTGAAGCCTGCAAAAAAGTGGCTTAAGGACTGCGAGTTTGACATGCCTGATCTCCAAGCACTTTTATGTTTCTGGTTCAGCTGATAGAAGAGATGTAAAAGCTGTCCACTGTCTGCTGAATGGTTGTCTGAGATGTTGGATTGAATTAGATCTAAAGAACTTGTTAACCATTTCATGCCTGAAATACATGTGCTTTCCAAATTCGGCTGTACCTGGTTAGATGCATTCAAGCATTTACTTTCATTTAAAAATGCAATGTTGATTGCATTCATAAATAAGCAAATGTAAGTTACCAGGATGTCACAATAATAATGTGGAATTAAAAAGGTGAGATTAATTAATTTATTCTACATTATGACACACTAGTTTTACAAGTGCATCCCTATGTGTCCTTCTTATACAGAAGGATACAGTCATCACATACTGTAAAAGTCACCACATACCATGTTATGTTAGGCAGACACACAGTGAGACTTGCTTTGCAAGTCAGATTGTTACTTGTTAGTAACAAGAATTGTCATTTAAATGTGGTGCAATGACTATATTCACAAATCCAAGAAAATAGTTTTATCTCATGCCCATGTAAATCGAATACATATTGCATAATGTTTTTTTGGAAGAATATTTAAAAATTTTTCTCCTGAAGCCAGCTAAATAAAGTGCAGTGATATACTATTTGATCTATAGCTTTGTAAAATTTCTAGTCAGCTGATGAGTTATGGGACTTTAGTTATATGAGATATATTTCATAACTGATATCCTGTCAACTGGTGTAGATAGATGGGTTATTAAAGATAAATAGCAGTCATGTGGAAGTGATTGTGCCCTGTAATACAGTCAAAAGTCGTTAATCCGGACTCGTCGGGACTTCGGCGATTCCGGATTATCGATTTTTCCGGATTATAGATCATCAGTTTAAATCTGGTAAAATGGCATGCAGAAATTATAAAAGTAAAAATATGAAACCGTAATTTACGAAATAAAGAACAATTATGATCTAAAGGGTATCAAAATTTACAAAAAAAAAAAGCTTAATATTTATTTGTTTACTTTATTAAACATTTCTTTCAATGTAAGTTGTTTCAGTTGTTGCTTCGTTTTTATGTGATAATACTTTCTCTTTAGTTTTTTATTATAAAACAGACATAATTTCTTGTTCAGTTACAAAGTTCCGCTGTTTCAAGTCCTTATAATTGCTGTGTCGAGAATACCGACTAATTTGTCAATCGAAATTTTTCGTTTTCAATAACCTCTGTCACTTTCTTCGCTATCGGAAGCGAATTATAATGACGAGGCAATTTGATTTAAATCATATCAAAGACTGAGTACATCGAGATGAAATACTACATTGAGTAATCAATTATAAGCCAAATAAAATAAAAACATCTGCCCTGAAGATAAGGATAGTGCTGACAAAATCAACTTCCAATTCATTGCACGCCGCTGCGGCGTGCGTAAAGATTGAAAGATAAACAAAGTTTAGATAAACAAACGTTAAAGTTTATATAAACAAAGAATATGCCTTTATCCATTTTTTGCAGCAATTCCATTTTTTGTTTAATGGATTCCGAAAGATACTTTCGCTTTGTATATCCTTTACATATTAGTAAATATATATCGGAAATTCTATTTGACATAATCGAAAGTTCAAGCTTACTTTTATAAAATTGCTCTAACAGTCTGCAAAAAATAATAAGCCGGATCCAATTCGAAGATTAAGGAACAACGCAATCTGCAACATTAACTGAACTGAAATTAGATAATTTTAGCTTAGCTTATACCGTCCGTTATACATTAAACGCGCATTCGTAAACGTATTTTGCGCCACACGCATATTCGCAGCGGTAAAGGTCTTACGCGCATGCGTCAACGCGACGCATGCGCAGAAAGATTGTAGCTTTTAGGTCCGGATTATAGATCATTCCGGATTATGGGTGTCCGAATTAACGACTTTTGACTGTAATCATATGCTGTTTCAAAGGTCTGCATAATATGTTCATTCTATAACCATTCAACCATTTTGGAATCTCGTATTGAGAGTGCCGAATTTCTACTTTCTCATTTTTATGCCAATAAATATTATTACTTAAACACTTTCATCTGTGCACTTTCCACCCATATGGATCGTTATCTGCAATTTAATTAAGCTTTGATTTCATAAACCATTGTATTTTTTATTCTTGTGCCATTGTTGGCTACTTTTCCCATACCTAATTTCTTAACAGAACATCATCCAAATATCAGCATTATGGGAATAAATTTACATATCCAGTGTAATTTTTCAGCCCCTGTTTGCTGTAAATAAAACCTTAAGATCTCATGTTCTAGTTATGGTTTAACTCCCTGAGTGGCATAACTGGGTTTATCCAGTCATGAGATTTCTTGTCATTTAGTTTATATCACCCTATTATTTCAAATATTTTGTTTATTTTCTTCAAAAATTTAAATATTATCTTTATGAATGAAAACTTTTAAAAACAGAGGCTAAAATAATTAATTGTACAAATTAAACAAGTAAAGGCTGCTCAGAGGGTTAAGAAACAGCATTATGTAACTTTTGCATTGCAGGTGCATATTTTTTATTATAGGTATTAGGTGGAATTTTGTTTTAAGAAGCTATTTTCAAAATGCTTGGATAAACATTTTGGGTATTAAAATTGTAACAGGGACTGAAATAATTTTTATTTATTAAAACTTCTCTTATAAGTAGTTAAAATTAGTAGTTGGGTATCATATGTGAATTAATGTCCTGCTCATAAAAATTTTAATACCTTACAATTTTTGAAGGTATACCTTATACTTTTTTAATAAGCATTAGCTTCTAGAAAGCATTCATACTAAAATTTTTGCTTATGTTTGATGCAACTGTATGTATAGAAATCATAACTTTTAACATGGATTTTAGTGTAAAACTTTCTAACATGGATTTTACTATAAAACTTTCAGTTAAGTATATTTTTTTTATTTTTTGCCACTAATAATGCAATACTTAAAGTCATCTTATTTATTCTCTCAAGTATTTTTATACTTGTAAAAGATACCTACCAAAATAATCAGGCAAAACCTTATCAGTAAAATAAAGAAAATATGTAATTATAATTTGCTCCATAATTTATTAAAATGTAGTTATAACTTTAAACCAGGGATGGACAAATTGTTTCGGTCGCGGGCCAAAAATCGGGGGGGGGGGAGTTACTGAGGGTATTGAATTTAACCTCGGGCAATGAGACAAGTCGTTCTTAGCTACCTGCCCAGCAAACAGATTAAGTTTTTGTTTAAAAGCTTTGATATGGGCCCAGATATCATCAATAAATTGATTTTTTTCCCTTGCATCTTGACATTCAAGTTGCTCAATGCTTAATAAATGAAATCTTCAGAAAGTCTCATAACTTTAAGAAAGTATCAAAAGTTAAATAAAAAATAACTTTGTAAAGTTTATTGTGCATTAAAATAGTGTATATAGGTTGCTACCTCCTTCCTTTACTTAGAGATTGGCTTTTTTATGGGGGGGGGTGTTGCATGATTTAAAAAATATGCCATTATGTTTAATGAAAAAAATTAAAGATTGTAACATGTTTATAGATGTAAATCAAATATGTAAATGTAACACATTTTCAGGCAAGAAGATCGGAGCATGTGCTACTCTGCACTCTGTCTCTTTGTTTTGAGATCATACTGAAAAATCCATGTTTCATCACCACTAATCCCTTGATTCAAAAATTAGGGTCACTTGTTACACACTTCAACAAATTATGTGAAATCAATTCACTGTTTTCTTTCTGCCCATCGGTCAAAATCCTTAGTGTTAGCATGACAAAAATTTTCTGCATTTGAAGTTCTCCCCTAATGATTTGATGTACAACTGATTTTCTAAGTTCCAATGTCTCTGCAATCATTTGGACACTCAAATGATCAGAGTCCCAAAACGGCTTTAATTTTAGCCGCATTCTGAAGTTCGAGAAGTTGATGGACACCCAGCACTTTGTTCATCATCAACGCCTTTTCTACCATCTTTGAAGACTTTGTGCCTTGAGCCTTGGAAAGGAATCCTTCCAGTAGGCCTCTTGTAACAGGGCAAGCATCTCAGCAGCTGCTTTGTTTAGTTTTACACAAAACTTTATGGTGTATTGCTGCTTGACCCTCCTCTCCATTTTGAAAATCTAATGCCATTTTCACATGCATGTTTGCTTCACAAGTGATCTGTGCTCTGTAAAGGCTCAAGGCCAATTGACTTCCATCAGACTCTGTAGCTGACAACCCCCACCATCTGTACCACCCATAAACTCTGCTCCTTTTGCCTTCTGGTTGGCAAGAATAATTCACTCTCATTACTTTCTGGACAGACCTTGTAGATTATACTTTTTGTATTTATTTACTATAACATTTATTTTCAAAATGCCTAGCTTTTATAATTATCATTTTGTATGCTATATTTTTTGTAAATCACATAATGTCAAATCATGAAAAGTTTTTTTTATTTCTGAAAAATTAATGTGAGTAAATGATTAAATTTTTTATTTAAACAATCTGAGCAGAACATTATATATTTTATTTAACCTGAAATATAATTAATACTTTTTTGTTAATGATTGTTAATTTACACAATTTAATAAGTTTATATTCTGTAATAGCTGTAATAGCTGCTTTCTTTATGTATTTATGTAATGCCATGCCTATTGTTATATTTGTAAAAACTGTTTTATAGTTAGTTCTTTTGGAACTATGTATTGCACATTAATATAAATCAGACATTACGAGTCTTATTTGTTTTCTGTATTATTAAGATGGAGGGTACTTTTCTAAAATAATTTACTTCAGAAACCAAACAGAAATCATTTTGGGGATAAATTTTTGTTTCCTAAATCATTTTATTATTTAGAACTGAATGTTTTTTCATATTACTATTCTTTGATATTTTAGGTGACACCAAACCACCACCACCTCTTCCTGATAGAACTGAGGAAAAAAATAATTTAACTAGGTATGTGTAGACTAAAAATAAGAAAAATATTTCTTATATTTTGTGTTTTATTTCTCATTTTACCACATGGTGTAAGTTTTTTTTTTATATGCTGTAATTAAATAAAATATACATTCTATAGCATAAAAAGTGAAGCACTAAGAAATAGCTTTCCAAATGAGACCAAAACCAGTAAATATGATATACATGCATTGAAAATGGAATGCCAGCAGTATCATAGGAACTGAATATTTTATTAAGGAATTACAGTTATAAGGGGGGAATCAATAATGCATTGCTCACCTTTGGTTCTGATGCAAGCTTTTGTCAAGTTGGGTATTGACTCATAAATTTGGCAGATGTCCTACTGCAAGACTGTTTGCCTTACACATTCCAATATAGATTAACGGATCTAGGGATGTCTGCTTATCAGAGCCCAAATGCTCTCTAATGGGAAGAGATCAGGTGATCACACAGACCTGAAAAGTGTTGGAAAAGCATGAAGGTGAGCAGTTCAAAAGTGTGCTTGTGCGACCAGGCATTATCCTATTGAAATGTAAGTTCAATCCATGAAAGGAAGAGCTACAGGGCTTAGAATCTCGTTGACACACTGCCACGCTATAAAGATGTCACAGATGACAATCAAAGGTGTCCAGTTATCAAATGAAATGGTAATGCTTGGTTGTTAGGCTTCATGGTGGACAACAGTCAGATGAGAATCCCACCATTGTCCGAGACATCTCCAAACATGTCTTTACTAGTTATTGTGACTGAATTCAAAGCACATCTCATTGCTGAAAACAATTCTGCTTCAGTTTGTAAGACCTCTGGCACCACAGCAAACATGCCTAGCAGTGTGCAATGAAGGGCAATCGGTACAGAGGCCTCTGTAACCTCAGCCCTAATTCACTGAGTCATCTATCAAAGGTCATTGCAATATGTCCCAATACATGTTGGATCATAGATAAGAACACATCAGGAACTGTGAGAACCAGATGCTTACGCTGTCCTCATGTTCTGTCATCGCTGTCAGCCCACTACTACATTCTTGATGCTCAGTACAGCTGTGGTTCACCCATTCCTGCCAACATCATCGAATGTTAGCATTGCTCTAACCCAAATTTAGGGACCTTGCAATTTGACCACTCTGCTTTCTTTAGTCCAGTTGCACATCTTGGTCAAATTGCGACAACTGCTCATACTGATTGTGAACCATTTGCAAGCATTGGTGTAGTCCACATGGGTCAACAGAATTATATTTGCATGGAAATGTTATGCCTTCCTCTTCTCTTTTATGTCTTCTGCCTCTGTTTTATACTCCATCTAGATGCTCCATTGAAATGTGCTGGAACAGCTAATCAGTCATTGGCCACCAGAAGTTTTTGCTTATTCTCTCATAAGGTATTTGAAAACCATTTACATATTCTATCATAAGGTATGGGTATATGCGGTTTTGCCCCATTTGGATAACTAATTCTTCATGCACTGCTTTTAATGTCATAGTATGTACTACAGCTTTTAGCACCAGTGTTTGATTTTTGAAACTTACTTTTATTTTTGATGTGTCTAATCATATTAAAAAAATTTGAAATTCAATGTTCTTTGCATAATTAAAAATACTGATTTTCAATCATAATGGAACGTTTTTTATGAGTTGGTAATCTAGCTAATTATTGGTTTGTTTCAACTGTATAATGCTTTTGAATTTGGAACTGCAGATCATTAAGTATTCATTCTCATAATTTATGTGCTCATACTAGAACTTAAAGATATATTTTCTGGCTTGAAACATATATTTTTCAGTGATAAATGTGAAAGAATCATGCCGATTCGAATTTTAAAACTGGTCAAAAACTATCCTCAAATTAGCAATGATTTTTAGAAGAGAGTTAGTATAAATTTAAGAGTTGATATGAATCTTTCTTAACCAGGAGCAAAAATTTTGCTTTGTTATATTCTGTCAGTCTTTTATACTAAGCAAATAAATATATACTACCATCTACTGAGCAGAATGAAGAGGAAGGTACTACATGAAACTTGAGCTAAACTTTGAATCCTAATTCAGTTAAAAAAAGTAATAATTTGAAAGTTTTACTATATAAATTTAATTTTTGGCTCTTTTCCACTTTCCTTTTGATTTTCTTAACAGTTAATGCCAGATATCCATTAATTTTGCAGTTAATAGATGTAATTGCTAGACTTTTTAGATAATTTTTTGTTGTTGTTAAGTGAAACCTATATGACATTCTGTAAAAGAATATAGCTTCTCTTTCTCTCTCTCTCTCTTTTTTTTTTTTTTTTTTTTTAAGTTAGTGTCAGATTAAGATTGATTTTTTTTAATATCTTTTCCTCCCTGTTAAAAATTAAAATTAAAATTAAAAAGGAAGGAAATAGCATTCTCAGTTTAGTTTTCCCGTTATTAATTATATATTTTCTATCAATAGTTGAACAATGAGGTTATTAAACATGGTACAAGGAAGAGGCAATATTTATATCACCATCAAAAACCAGGAGTGTTATATTCTTATTTATTTTCATTTAATGCATGGAATGAACTTTGATATCAATTAATTGGAAACAAAGTTCCATTCCTGATAATACAAGCCTTTAATCTGGTTCTACGTAAAAATTCCAGTGTCAAAGAATTAAATTGTAAAAAGAACAAGAATTCCTAGTGCTCTCATGGACCTGTAGTGTTGATATGGTTATCGAAATTAATTTTAAAATTTATTATTCAGTATTTTACAAAAAGTTGATATGGTAATCTCATGTTGATTTAATTTGCATCTCATATTAATCCATCTGTGCCAATGATTTCTTTAATTTTCAAAATTTTATTCAGGTTACAGTCTGGTCGTAACAGAGGGCCTATAATGGATATCTCTCTAAGTCAGTTGGACCAACCTGCCACTCCATTGCTAACAGGCCATGGACATTCCAGGGCTCCAGTAGGCTTAGAAGATGAGGAGCCTCTGCAAAGGCCACCACTTCCACGGATAGATGGTATACAAGTCTTCTATGCTATATTGTCCCAAATACAATTTTCTAATAGGTTTTTGAAAAATTTTACTTTTAAAAGCAGCCTACAACTTTTAAAGATATTTTAGAGCTAAATTTGTTCTTCATTTTAGAATAATAACAACAAATTTTTGCTTGATTTCCTTTTAAATGTTTCTTAACAAGAAAAAAGTTTCATTGTAGCTAACACAAAATGTATAAAACTGTTTATTATATTTCGACATATTTTAGGCAGTAGGTATCATTTACAAAACCATCTGGTATACTACAATGTTTGAAAAAAAAAAAAAAAAAAAAAGGCAGTACATTGAAGTGCCACTGAATTTAGAAATACCTGATTAGTAAGACGTTGCTGCCCCTTTCCCTTGGTACTGACTGTTAACAAAGAGGCATAGGTTCAAAACGCCTACTGAAGTGTTTCAGGAGTATAGCCTGTTGGTGCCTTCTAGAATTTTCCATAAATCAGCTTTGAACACTGGTGGTGGCTGATACACTTGTACTCTTTTCTCCAGAATATCCCAAAGGTGTTCCATGGGATTTAAGTGTGAGCTTTTTGGTGACCATTTTAATTGGAACAATGCAATGTAAGGTATTTTGAACCAGTTAGTAGCCTGGTTAGAAAGATTTATGATAGAAATTGTTGTCCTGCTGGTATTCTCCATTAAAAACGGGAAGAGATTGCGTAACAGATCTCTGTACTTAGATGCAGCGAGGATGCTTCCCAAGCATTGCTAAGAAGATACAGTGAGGATGCTTTCCCAAGCATTGCTAAGAGAAAATATCCCAGACCACTATTGATTTGCCAAAAATGTATACAGTTTTAACCTGACATGCTTGATCAATATTTTCATGGAATGGTACCATAACTCCTAACCTATCATCAGCAAGATTCTATTGGAATCCAGACTCATCACTCCATGCTACTCTCAATGGTCAGTTATTTTCATCCCACTGCAGTAATTTATTATTTTGCAATATCTTTTAATAACTAATGGGCCTTTTTTGTTACAAATACAATTTTTAACAGCATTTTTCTTGATGCACATTACATATCTGTGCTACTTATTTTGAAAACAAGATAAAAGGAATACTAACACTTTTAAAACATATTTAATTTACCAGTGGCTGTATTAGTGACTACTACTGGTGCATATATCTCTGTAGAAAATTGTTTAGCACATTTTATTCCATATCAGAAGTATCCCATACATTAATAGTATAAGCTGTGATTTTATATAACCAATTTACAATAAATTTCTACTACAGTTAATTTTTGAAGCTCAAAATCCACAACAATTCTTATTTTACACAAACAGTCCTATGTAGATCATAACAGTGATGTTAAATGGAAAATGAATTTCCTGCTGAAACCATTTAGCATTCCTAAAATTATCCTAACATGTTTCTATTGCTGATTTGAAATCTATTAACTGCAATGAACTTTGTAGCTTCTTCATTTTACTTTTCCTTACGTTTAATATATAACAACAATTCATTCCAATATGTTAAGTAAAACTTGCAACTCTTCATTTTAGAAAAATTTTCTTAGTGTCTTTTAAATAATAACTCCATGCTCTTGATTTTTCCGTTAATGTTCGTGTCTACGAATGGCCAAATAGGTAATTTTGCATGCTTGACTTGGTATGGTTTATGGTGAACAAGTTGGCTGAATATAGTTTTCTGAATAGAATATGTGGAATTTTCCTGTAACATTTTTTAACTTGCGTTTGAAATTATCATATATTTTTTTAAAGCTTATTTGTTTGTTTTAACTTTACAGTAGAAAAGGTGGTACTTTTCCGTTTGGCCGGCGCAATTTTCCATTTCGCCGGCGCAAGCGATAAAGTCGCCGAAAATGGTAGAACTGATGCCAAAGCGAATATCTTCGCTGATAACCTTTCACGGCACTTTTTCAAAACAAGTCGCTGAGATTTATTATCAGATTTACCTTTTTTTTTCAATATTGGCATACAGTTACATAGAATTTTTTTAATTATAATATTGAATAATTCTGCATTTAAACTCGTATTCCATACTGAGATTTTAACTTGAAATTAATGTAGATAATTCCTGAGAGAATCAGATTTTTGCAGCATATTTTACGTGAGATGAGATCGTTTGGGATCACGTGATATTAAACTGTGAATCAAGAGGTTATACCATGAAAGCATAGTAAATCTTTAATTAATGTCTTTAAATTCTAAAATTAACGTCTTTTACAAATATGTCAAAAATGGATGAAAAACCAATGAAAATTTGGGATTTGCCCAGGACAGAAAGAATCCGTCAGATTCTTTCAAGCGAAAGGCGTTTTGCCTAACATTGCTATTTGTGAAAATAATCATGAATGAAATTATATTTCGGAGACGAATTCAATGGCGTTGCAACCTTTCAACTTGCCGCAGTAAAAGAAGTATAGGGAAGGCACATGGTTTGATCATCGAGATTGAGTTTCTTGAAGTGTTTAAGATTCATTTATGGTTGGAGTGAAAGAATTAACTTCAGTTTAAATGGTGTGAAAAGCAGTTGGAATCAGTCACGGAACAGTTTTGTGGATTGGAATACTACATGCGAGAGGTTTGTGGGATTCTTTAATTAAATTAAACGTCAACCAAAATAGGAGGCCCTGGTATGATCGTTGAATTGGATGAAGTATGTTCACGAAGCTCAAAAACAATGTGGGATGGATTTTACCACAACAGTGGATCTTGGTGGAGTTTGTCGTGAAACAAAGAAATGTTTCCCTGTCAAGCTGCCAAACAGATTCATGAGCATTATATAAGAAGCAATTAAGGAAAATATCGAAAAGGCACTATAATATATTCGGATTCTTAGAAATCAAACTGCACTGAAAAACTGGAAGACGAAAGTTTCGGACATTTCAAAGTGAACTAACTGTAAATACAATTTGTTGATCCAGAAACTGGAACGCACACGCAAAAAATAGAAAGACTATGGGGAAGTAGCATCAAATGGCGGAAATAAGAAACAGAGGAACTGGCACGTCATCATATGAAAATTATCTCGAAGAATTTATGTTGGAGAAGGAAGTACACGAAAGACTCATTTGAAAAAAAAAAATAAATAAATAAATAAATAAATAAATAAAATAAAATAAAATGTTTATGCCTCTATGGTAAAAAGATTCTTAGAACTAACATTTGTTAAAATTTTTTATGTGTATACTGTGTGTTGTCGCCAATAAGGTCTGCTTGGCGAGATTTGCGCCGGAGAAAGGGAAATGGCGAGGTTTGCGCCGGCGAAACGGAAAAGTACCGAAAAGGTATATAAAGATCTTACAGTTTCAAGTTTACTGTCTTTTTTGAAATCCTAATTTTGACTGATGCGGTAATTGAATTGCAAATATTGCTGTCAATATATCAGAATATCAAGAAATAACTTAAAGGACTGAAAAGTTTTTTTTTTTGGGGGGGTGTGTGTGTACATTTTATTATTTTTTCTGTTTACAAGTAGTTTTATATAGTTTACATTTTTCTGTTTACAAGTAGTGGGTTATATATATGTATATTAATTTCTAATTGAATATAAGCTTTTTTTTTTCTTCATAGAATTTTCTAATAGAAGGGACCAGTTTGATGATGACCCTCTTGCTAGGAGAAACAAAGCTATTCAGTAAGTTTCTGGTATAATAGTCAAATCTTATCAACATCTATATTTAAAATTTAGGGTAATAATTTCCTGCATATTAGTATGCTTTTCATTAATAATCTGCAAAATCTCTTAGGAAAGTTAAATATTAATTTATGATTTAGCTGTGTAATATGTAGTTTAGTTTTCATGCTTATGTAGTAGACGCGAAAAGAAGATAAAGTAGTTTTTCACAATGATTGTGCTTCTGGTATTTTTTAATAAGCACTTCAAAAGTTATTTTAAAAATGAATCCAATAAATTAGTTCACCTGAAAATGCAAAATTGTAGGGCCTGATAAAATTTAAAACACATATAATTGATTCATTATTTTACGGCATAAAAATTAATATTTTTATTCATATTCTTATTTCATTTTTACAATTTCTGATTGTGAAAATTGGAAATATATTTTCTAAAACCTTAAGATTTGTATTCAAGGCATACAAATTGTTATGTCTGAAATAATTATAACAGCATTATTAGATGCATAACTTATATGTTTCATTAGTTTCTTAGTAAAAATCAAATTATTTGCATAGTGTTTATTCTTTATAATTAAATCTTCAGTTTTATTTTGGGCTGTATTTGATTATGTTTATTTTTGCAGGCCAGAGCCTCGTTTTATCTCTTTTCAGAAGGATGGTAGTGTAGGTATCCGTCTTACTGGTGGCAATGAAGTTGGAGTATTTGTAACTGCAGTACAACCTGGTAGTCCTGCCTCTCTTCAAGGTTTACAACCTGGTGATAAAATCCTTAAGGTAAATTCCCTCCTTCCAGTTTCTCTTTAGTTTTTTCCCCCCTTCAAATTTCTTTATACATTAAAGTGTCTGTCTATAGACACTTTTACTTAAGCATTTCTGCTCTTTTACTGATAAATGGGGTTGCTATATTTATTTTTGATTTGGCAGTATCTTTTAATAATAATGTGTTGTTCTTTATTAACAGTTTTGCTTAGTTTATTAATTTGCGATTTGATGATATTTTTTAGTAAAATTTTTCTTTTTTACAATATATTAAATAATATTTTATTTTATAGTTAAAGATAAAATATATAGTTGCATAAAAATGTAAAGCATTGCAAATGAAATAATTCAGAAATTTGTGTGGGTTATTTTGAAGATTAATAAATATTCAAGGATTTGCTGAAGGAAAAAATATAGAAAAAATGCACTGCATCTGAATTTAATAATAAGTAACAGAATTTTGATAAGAATATCTGAGATTCAATGCATTATATGTTTAAATATTCTGTTATTGTTCAAAATAAAAACGTACTAAATCGAATTTTATGGTTAGGTAAATGACATGGATATGCGAGGTATGACACGAGAAGATGCTGTTCTTTATCTCCTTAATATACAAGACTTTGTTAATCTGATTGTACAGCACATGAAGGAAGGTAATTTGTTTTGCATATTTTAATTATTTTAAATATTAGTATGGAGTGTACTGTCTGAATTCTGAATTGCATTTTCTCAGTTTGTCATTTCATTGCTTTTTGTTGTTATTATCATCATGCATATAAAATGTTAATTTGTAAATTTTTTGCAAAATAAATTAAGTGAAAGAAATAATCTAGAAATGATTTAAATTTTCTGGACAAAAAAAGAATGTGATGAAAAGTCTGTTACATGTTTTTATTCTGTTATTGACTTTTTAAATGTAAAAAGATTTGTTTTTGAAAATATGGTATGGCTAATTAATGACGATCTCTAATTGTTGAATGTGATATTTTCTTATTCAATGTGGATGGCTTTCATTCTGACAAGAAATGTATTCTTGCATATTAATTGTGGTGCAGAGAAAAACATTCCATGAAAATAAAGATGTTATTATTGTGTATTATTCACACACAGATTTGGATCCTAATTGACTGGAGGTGAATTAACCAGGTATTGTCTTCACAAGGAAAAAATGTATGTCTATTGCAAATGATGGAAATATGATGGAATAAATATGACAGAAACACATCTGCATAAAACAAAACAAAACAAAAAAAAAAAAAAAAAAAACTAAGGGACATACGTAAGGGAATATCATTTAATTGTTCATAATTCAGAGTATATATCATCATTGTTAAATCATCTAAGTAAAGTAAATTGTTCAGTCTTAAAAATATGTTAAGTGTTTATAAAGACATTAATGTTGTGTTTCAAATTATCTTGTATTGAAATACAAAAGTAATACAAACAAAAGCAAACAGCAGGTGTGCCATTAAATCAGGAATAAACATCGATACAGTTAGGAAGAAGTAGAGGAAGGGAAAAGTGTTCGTGCATGCTCAAGAGAGTGAATTTTAAGTACTGATTTAATTTATGCAATGAAATAAATTTATTCTTCAAATTTAAACTGCTTGAAAATACTGGTAAATTATGAATTATATTTTTTTTGTTATTTATAATATGGGTTATTCTCTTTGATATATTTTTCTAACTGCCTTCAGATTTTCTAACTGCCTTCAGCTTTGAGTTAACCGTGGACATTTTCTCCACTATTAGCCCATTATACTGAAAGTTGATTGTACATGTTGCTATCAGTAACTATAAAAATTACTGCTGAGAATCATTTTCAATCAATAAGAGCATTACTTGCTCTTGGTAAAAATTTTGAATTTATAATATTGAATTTTGTGAATAAACACACAATTTTTATTTTATTAATTTTTTTTTCTTGTTTTTTTAGAGTATGATGAAATTGTTGCGAATCAGAGAGGAGATTCATTTTATATAAGGTAAAGCATGTTATGTAGTTTGAACATTTTAAATTTTGTCTGCTATAAAATTATCCATTTTCATAAAGATTCTTCTGCAATCATTTTGCATTTTATGCTTTATAATATTTATATATTCATATTTTTGCAAAGATTAAAAATAAAGTAAGTACAAAAAATTAACTTTAATGGAAGTATTCTGCTGAATGTTTTAATTCTTCAAAGAAGGACTTTCATTACCTGACTTTTCTTAGAATCAATAGTTTTCTTTAAGCTGTATCAATCAAAGGTTAAATGAGATAGAAACTTTTTTAACTTTATAAAATTAAATTTTAAGCTATGGTTATTATCTGTTTAATATAATTTCTGAACTGATTTTCTTCATCATTTTGCTGATAGATTGTCAACTTTTCAATGCATTTGAGCATTTCTCTAGAAATTTTATTTGTAGAATTACAGGTCTGTAATACATTGCCAATTGACCGCTTTGTTGTTCTTGTCTCTAGAAGTAATTACAGCTCTCTATATGATTAATATGAAATGTGGCGGGGTGCCTTAAGTTTGCAATCATATAAAAATGAGGGCAATCTGTGAGCCTTTTTAGGTTCACAGATTAGTTATATAATATTGAGCATGACAATGGAAGCTTATAATTTAATAAACTAAACAATGTTCATGCTTGCTTTTATATCATAAGCAAACATTAGTTAATCTATAAGTAAAATAAAATTTTTCCTCTCTATCATTATTAAGTGACTCATTTGGTTCTTAAAAAAATAATGCAGCATTTTTCTTTTGCTTAGGACTCATTTTTCATATGAAGGTTCTGGCAAGGGTGAAATTGGTTTTCATGTGGGTGAAGTATTCCATGTTATAGATACACTACATAACGGAGTTGTAGGTTCCTGGTTGGTTTACAGGTTAGGTCGAACCAATCAGGAGATACAGAAAGGAGTTATACCAAATCGCAACAGGTAATGGTGCTCAAATGTTTGTTTATTGTCTTCAAAAAATTTAAATACAGTATCTAATGATTAAAATATTAAATGTTGAGATGAAAATGTGATTATGTTAGGAATCAAAGTTTGAATGAAAATATAAATTCAAAGTATACTTCCAAAAGGTAGAAGTGTAAATATTAAGAAAACAGCTATATATAAATATCAAAGATACAGATGATAAAATTTATATTAATAATTACATCTAATTTTAGCTTTCTTCATGGAATAGATTAACTATGCATTTTCAGTGAGTTTTATGGTTGTATTTTTTATGTCTTTGGGGTCATATTTTTTTATATCTTTAGGGTTATCTAATTTTTGCTCCTCTTCTAATTAGAGTTATATTTTAATGCCTTTTTCTTGTATTATTCTACATTCCTCCTTTTTTTAATGTCTTTTTCTTGTACTATTCTACATTATATCATTACACTTTACTGTTTGTAGTTAACCTTTTAATCTGTCACTTATCCCTTTGTTATATAAACAAGTACAGTCAAAAGTCGTTAATTCGGACACCCATAATCAGAAATGATCTATAATCCGGACCTCAAAGCTACAAACTTTCTGCGCATGCGTCGCGTTGAGGCATGCGCATAGGCGGTTACGTGCGCGCGTAAGACATTTATGGCTGCGAATATGCATGTGTACACGCGCATAATACGTTTACGCATGAATGTATAACGGACGGTATAAGCTAAGCTAAAATTATCTAATTCAGTTAATGTTGCAGATTGCGTTGTTCCTTAATCTTTGAATTGGATCCGGCTTATTATTTTTTGCAGACTGTTAGAGCAGTTTTATAAAAGTAAGCTTGAACTTTCGATTATGTCAAATAGAATTTCCGATATATATTTACTAATACGTAAAGGATCTACAAAACAAAAGTATGTTTCGAAATCTGAAATCTGTTTATCAATTTCACGCTGCTGTGCGGCGGCGGGGGTGGGGAAACGCCGTGGCACGCAATGAATTGGAAGTTGATCTGTCAGCACTATCCTTATCTTCAAGGCAGATGTTTTTATTTTATTTGGCTCATAATTCCTTACTAAATGTAGTATTTCATCTCGATGTACTCCGTCTATGATTTAAATCAAGCTCTTCGTCATTATAATTCGCTTCCGATAGTGAAGAAAGTGACACAGTGGTTATTGAAAATGAAAAAATTTCGATTGACAAATTAGTTGGTATTCTCGATACAGCAGTTATAAGACTTGAACAGCGGAACTTTGTAACTAAACAAGAAATTATGTCTGTTTAATAGAATTAAAGAGAAAGTATTATCACATGAAACGAAGCAACTTAAACAACTTACATTGAAAGAAATGTTTAATAAAGTAAACAAATAAATATTAAGCTTTTTCATTTTGTAAATTTTGATACCCTTTAGATGATAATTGTTCTTTATTTCATACATTACGGTTTTATAATTTTAATTTTGTAATTTCTGCATGCCATCTTACCAGATTTAAAATGATGATCTATAATCCGGAATCGCCGAAGTCCCGACGATTGTTCTTTTAATTTGTTACTTTTCAATTTATAATTTACACATATATGTAAAATTTTTTGTTTGGGATTAAGTTTGCACTTGTTTGAAGAGTCAAAAACTTATGATTTTGTCTTCATCATATGCATATTAATATTTCTTATATTTTAACTAAAGGTGTAATGAAATTGCAAAGTGTAATAAAAAATTAAGAATAACTCTTAATATCATCGAGTGCCTGTTTTTTTTATAAGTAGTTATTTTTAGTTGTATTTAGATAAGTATATAGTTAATATTTATCACACTTTTATATTCTTCTGTGTATAGGGCTGAACAGTGGGCACAAGAACAACAAAATCAAGCTAAAAAAGATGCTGCCTCAGAAAGCAGAGGAAGCTTCTTCAAACGGAGGAGTGCTCGTCGATCCAAATCCCTCAGCAAAGATCATTGGGAGGATGTTGTTTTTGGTATGTTATGCTGTTGTCTAAAATATGATGGGTTTCTTTTTTCATATATTTATAGTAATGCAATTACAATGGGAACAGCAATTTCATTGTCTTAAATCTGTCACTTGTTTTTGACTAACTTTTGGCCTCTGAATCCAAAAATAGCCACGGTTTTTCTCTATCACATCAGCTTTTTAAGCTATAGGATACCCTCTCTTTGTCTCAAACGTCATACAAAATATACATATAAAGGAAAATAAAAGGAAAACTTACCAAGTATACTGTTCACAAAGACTAGTTTTATTCGTATAAAACTTATATACAGTTATTGCAAATTAAATTTTGTTCCTACAAATAGTGAAGTATTTTTACCAAATGGTAAATAGTAAAAATATATGCTTATGCCTTTTTCTTTAGCGTTTAATCTGTGAACATTCTTGCTTGAGGCTCCAGGAATAGTTAGCCATAAAATAAGGTGCATCTAAAAAGTTGAAGCTTTCTAAAATTTGTTGGACAATTTCACTGTAATTATGTGCTCGTGTTTTCATCCTCATCCATAAACTCTCAAGATACTGCTTGCACACTTTGTGAGGGGCCCTTGATTTATCTTGATCACCAGTTTTCACTTCAGAATAGGCAAAGTAATGTTGCCTGACAAATGTACTGATATTTGACTGGGAATATTAAAACTGCCACATATATAACAAAGTGAATCAGGGCTGTTTAAGAACTTATAAAGCAGACTAGCAGAGGCAGACATAAGGAAAGGTTTCAGTTAATATTGAAATAAAAACTAAACACTGCTAACCTTGTATACAAACAAGTACCCAGATTCCACATCAGAATGCACTTCACTATATCAGAGTGACACACATCTCACTATAGTATCTCAGGCATAAATGAACTGGTCTAGAAAAGTATGCACCTATTGCTGGTCTCCTATGGCATCATTTGAAAGGTTTTTATCAGCCAATAAGAGATTAGTAATACTTCGTATGATCCATGTTCAATCGCATTCTCATAAGGTGTATCGTAAAAACTTGACGTGGTAAAAGAAAACTAACTAGAGTTTTGAAATCAGCATGCCTATTTAACTCTACATCAGCTCTGTCAAACTCAACAGAAATTACGTTACAAATTATTCCCCAATGAACACTGAATTTATCTGATCACATAATAAGTGAATCTGCATAACAATTAATCTATCCTGACTGACCATTCATAAAATAACTGTTCTGTGTTACAGGTGGGTTTCAGATAGAAACAGTGTAGGCATTTAAAACTGATTATGCCAAATGCTTTTATACTGAATATAATGTCCTTAATGATTTCATTTCAAGAACTGTAATATATATAAATTTACAGACTTTCATAAGTATTAAATTCCATATATTCTTATTTAAGAAATCAAAAAGCAAAAATCTTCCAAAATTAGCAAGAAAAACTTCATTATACAATCCTTTAATAATGTTCTTTCAAGTGTCATTTCACTGCTATTACTTTGTTGTTTATTTATCTAGGTTGGAATTACTGAAATTAACAATTAACTTAATATACCAATTTGATTTTAAAATCATTGTGGATGGTAAATACTGGGGTTACCCAGTATACTCTTAACCCATTGGTAGATTGAACAGCTGACCAGTTACTGTTTAAGTTTATACAGTTACTTAGGAGAAACGTTTTCATTCATAAAGAGTTAATGTGTACATGCATATGAGAATGCTTTGCTATAGTATAAGAGAAAACTTACATAAAACTTAACATATAATTACTGATGAAGCATTTTAAAAATGGTATGTGTTCTACATAGTGTATGCATGTGCTTGTTACTTATAAGGAGATTCTAGAGTAATTAGAAGGTACAAGATACATGAACAAGCATGTTTTGTACAATAATTTTGCATTGGCTGGTAATCTATTTGGCAAAAACTGCAGTATAATGCTCTGCATTATTCAAAATAGCATTTAAAGTAGCTATTTAATATGTACAAGTTGGATAAATGAGCCTGTTTGATTGTGTAGCATATTTTAATCAGGAATGAATTTTATAGGGGTAGGGTTGGCTCAATTTCTTAAATCCAAATCTCTTGTAGAAGCCAAAAGTTGGCTGAATTCAAATGTTTGTTAGAATATTTAGCAAGCAAGATATGCTTCTGTATTAATAATTTCTATTGCATTCCCAGCCAACTCTTAAATGACTAATAATTATCTAATATCCCTCTCAGTCACACATTAATTTATGATATTAGCTACTTTGTTGTTTTATTTATATTTTTGATCATGATACATGTTTAACTAATAATTCCTACTCATTGAAATTATTTTAAATGGGTCATCATTCCAAACTAGTAACCAGATGATGACACAGTGGGACCTATATGAGAGGCTTAATTATTGCATCACACTTGTTGTGTCTTTTCCACCCAACAAAGTTTATGTCTATTTTTATTTCACAGATTCATCTTGTGGCAATATGCAGAATTCTTTGCCTCTTCAGTTCATAAGCTGAGTTCAGTCTTCTTCGCATGTTGAATTTTTATTTGTCTTCAATCTGTGTATGCTGCTAAATATCAGTCAGCTCTGATTTTGTTTGCAGATTAAAATGCACTTGAACTCTGAATGCCCTTTTATACTGCCAACCAGCCTCCCCCCCAATCCCCCCCGAATAAAATTCTACAGGGTTAAGAAACACACCAGATATTTTTTTCCTTTATGTACACACATACATACATACATACAAACAAACACATATAAATAAATATATGCGGCACTGTAACACAGTATGTATATACTGTGAGTGTCACAGTGCTATTAGCTCTGATGCACATCATATTAGATAGGCATTTATGTGTGTGACATTGCTTTATCTACTAAACAGAATTCAAGTAAAACTTTTTTTAAAGTGTTCCTGCTTCTGTTATATATATGGTAGCTATATGCAGATAACATTGTGTTTTCAAATTTTAAGACTTTTGAATAAAACAATAAGTTGCAAAATGTATTGTGCTGAAAACAATTGTGCTTTTCACTGAGCATTTTAGAAAGCTGAATTATATTTTTGAGATGAATTAGTTTAAAATTTGTTATCTGGTAATTTTATTATATATTAATCTATCTTTCTTGCAGCAGATGGGATATCCAAGTTTCCAGCCTATGAAAGAGTTACTCTTAAGCATCGTAAGTTTTTAATCTTGTCATCTATACTATTACTTTGACAAATAAATTATTCTTGTGCATTTCTCGAAGTGGAAATTATTAGTTTTAATTTTTTTATTTGGAGAATTATGCGTATATATTTTCCAATAAGCTATATTTAATATTTATTCACTGCCATTAAAATCTACTGCTTTTTGCAATATCGATCTAGTGAATGTTAAAATTATGATTTGGCATGAACTGGGGTCTTCAGTTAATGACAAATAAGTGCTTCAGAATTTGAAGAAAGATGAATTATGTCTAAATAAATAAATAAATAAATAAAAAAGAAAAGAAATCAGCATGAAAAGCAGAGAAAGAAAAGTCTGGCTAATTGTTTCCATTAAGTGGTGCAAGTATTTTTCTATCCCTTGAGAAGTGTTGCCTTTCAGTGTGATAATGCCTGGAACATAAGCATTTGTGAGATGAGTTTTAGAGGATAGAATTACGTACCTTCTCTGATCTGCACAATAAGACTTGAAAATTTTTTAACTACTGTGATCTGTTTAAAAAAAAGGGGGGAAGCCAGATACAGAAGGAAAAAAAAAGAAAAGATTCTGTTTTCTTCCTACAACATCTGTGGAGAAACAGAAGCAGTTTCTGCATGAGGAATAATGTAATATTTCTTTAACTACCATTTAAGATTTGTGTCTATCCATTCCCAAAAAAATTTAGGCTATTTTAAATGTCAGAGGTGGTCCTGCATATTCTTAGCAAAGTAATACCTTCTTTTACTAGATAAAGCAGTTTTTTAATTGCTATATATTTATGTAAAGTTGAATGAAATGAATAATATATTTGTGTCTTAATTTCTGAATTTCTGATTTGAGGGCTTTTCTTATAGAGATCTGCAAAACTGTATCAGATCATGAAACCTTTTGTAAAATAAAATTGAAATTTACAGCTCATGTTCAGTGTACATTATTTTATTGATGTAACTATTTATGACAACATCAGTAGTTGTATTTGCTGCTTAACTTCAAAATATTTATTTATAAATTTTATCTATCACAGCTGGCTTTATACGCCCAGTGGTTCTTTTTGGGGCCTTAGCTGATGTTGCTCGAGACAAGTTATTAAAAGATTATCCAGATAAATATGCTTCTCCCCGTAAGTTTTATTTCAAATGAAATTCTGTCTAGGTTTATATATAGAAATGTGATTTAATAATTATCTTATCTGCAGCAGTGCCATGCTTAAAAGTTATTTGTAGACATTAGAAACATATATCATGTATTATTTAAAGTCTTGTCTGAAATAGTTTTTGTAATTAACTATATTTATGTTCCTCTTCTATGTATTTCCCATATATGTATGAATGTGATCACATTAAAAAGTTTTCAAAATTACATGCTTCAAGAATGTAAACAGAGATTTATGATTTAAAAACAAGTCACACTAGTCCTTAAAATTTTAATTGACCTATGATCCATAAAAGCTGAAAATATTAGTTTTTATTTTCTGAAAAATTAACAACAGTGTTTTCACATTTAAATATATGAAAAATATTCACCTCTATACTTATATATATGTATTTTTATATTAATCCTTTTTTCAAACAATTAAGTTTCTTGTAATTTATTTTCTTGTAAAAGCTGTAATACTGTGTTTTTTATTCTGGGAGTGAGAATTTTTCATTTTATATTCCATTATACTAGCATACAAATTATGATGACAGTTTTAAATCATTTGTATTTAATGCATAATTTTTGATTATTTTCATACTTCTATCTTAAAATGATGCTTAGTGCTCAAAATTTGTATTTAATTATAATTTTTGTACTATTTTTAATACTCTTTAAAATTTCTACAATTTATTTTTTATTTAGGTAGCAAAGATATGTTTACAAAGATATATTTTATACATTGTTTACAAAGAAAATTTCTGTATGCAAGGCATATAACTTTATCATCAAAATTAATTAGAAAATATTAGAAATATTAGAAATACAAGGTGCTCATAAAAAGAACTTTCCTAACATATGGACCCCTAGTGGCCTATCTGCTCAGCCAATCAAAATGAAATTTCAGATATTGTTATTTGAAGATGTAATAATTTAAAACAAAAGCTATTATGGTTATAGTTACAGTGAAAACATTTTTAATTTTTCAAATTGCAGCATCCACTTCTTTCCAGCAGAAATTGTCAGCAGATTGAAAAACCGTAAATGGATTAGAACAATACATGTATGGTGAAAATTGCCAGATGAGCATTGTAAAAAGCCAATCATTGTGAATGGAGCAAGGGGGCATTGACACACATTACATAATTCACAAATGTAAACTGTAGATGCACCAATCGCAGTATACTGTGTGCAAAGCTGAGACCCATGATCTGTAAAAATTATACATGATGTGGTAAAAAAAATTGAAGCAACTGGATGTATATATGATAGACCTCGATACAGATGACTGTATGTTTCTGTTGAAGGTGTTATGGAAGTGTGTAAATACAATTACCGCAAGTCCATCATATACAGCAAGAAAGGTCACTCCCAGTTTGGATGTACCGAAAATCACAGCCCTCAAGCTTCTGCGCTTTGTTCTGCAGATGCTTCCTTATTGATTCCAGCATATGCAGATGTTGCAACCTGAAGACGAACAACAGTGTGTTGACTTTCAAATTTTTTACTCATCAGATTTGATGAAGACAGCAGGTGACCAGTGCAAATATTATGGATGGACTTAGGTACATTTCTCCTTAACTGGGAATGTAAACTCTATGAACTGCTATTTTATGCCAGCAATTTTGATCTTATGTGTATTATTCCAATAACATTTATGGTTTCTAATGTGCCGATCAATTTGCACATGAAAAAAGTGTTCTAATTTAAAAATGAAAAATTTTTTCACTGTAACCACAACTGCAAGAACTCTGTTGTTTTAGCTCAGCGTTTCTTAAACTGTGGGTCGCGACCCCCAAGGGGGTCGCCAAAAAATTTAGCAGTTTTGATATTTCTTTAACTTATTATAATAATTTTACAATTACCAAATATTTTTACACAATGTATCTGAAAATAGATAAAGATAAGGCAATACAAACAAAGAAAAAAGGAAAACTTTTCGACACATTCTTTTTATAATAGAAACGTTCATTTTTACTTGCTTTGCACTTTCATCTGTTACTTATTTAAAATTTTCACATTGTTCTATGTCTTCAAATTAGAAATTAAAGTCAATGACCTAAAACTGCAATAGTATATTACAGTAAAAAGTGAAAAAATTGACAGTTTCGCACATGTGTGTGTTGGATTTGCACAATGCTTATGGGGTCCCACAAAATTTTTGTAAATATTATGGGGTCTTGGGGGTCACGAAAAAATCTCAGTGATAAAAGGGGATCATGACTGAAAAAAGTTTAAGAAACCCTGTTTTAAATCATCATCATTTTGAGTGCATACCTTCAAATAACAATATCTGAAATTCCATTTCAGTTGGTTGAGTGGATAGGCCCCTTAGGGATTCATGATTCATGTATCAGGAAAGTTTTTTTATGACCGCCTTATACACATAATTCATAAGAAATATTCAGGAACTAGAAAATCATTGCATTCATGTCTGATGTTTATATTTAATTTCTGAAGTAAGAAGTAGGTAATAAAAAAGGAAATTTAATTAGGTTCTTGTGAATCTATGCTTTTAACTTGTTATTAAATGATTTAAGATTATCATTGCATTCAGGAAAATAAAAGGCAGTAGTCAAGATTTTCCATTTTCACTATTTTATTTTTAAGTAGACGTTTTTGGCTAAGTAATTTTTTTCTTACTTTTTTTAACCTAAATGTAATGAATTATCTTTTTGCAAATTTTAGCTATAAATTTTAAGTGTTATATGCCTAACAAAATTTTATTGCCAAACTAAAAAATGTATTGTTGAAAGATTTTATGAAATCAAATTTTTAATTTTTTTTAATCAGAGTTAGATGGCCATTTGGATGATGTGCCCAAAAGTCAAAAATCATCAGGCATAATTCGTCTAAGTGCAATCAAAGAAATAATTGAAAAGGTAAAGGCAATGTATAGAAATTTCTGAAGCTAATATTGATAATTTTTATATCATAATAAATTTTTTTCATGAAAGTTTTACTTTCTATAAGTTTATTTCGTTGAAGTTAAATTGATAATACGCACACTTAAGCATAGAATAAAATTTATTGGCTAACTTGCACAATTATTATATTAAGGTTTCTAGAAAGCTGCATTACATATGGTATTCATTAATATTCCGTGAAACTAAGGACAAAATGTTTGATTTATTATTTTTATGTAAGCCAAGAATTGCATTATCAAATTATAAGTAGTTTAACTGTATGAATATAGATGATGATTTTTTTGTTTAGATACTTAAACCTAGTTACATGCATTAACCAACCTCCCTCAAATAGGATTTGTGACATTTTTGTAGATTTCTTGATAAAATTTTTTTAATATAAATTTTGATGTTTATTCTTTTTAGTTTACTGAGTATATTTAGCTTCTGCAGTGCGTTAATTTTGAATGTTTGTATGTGAGCTGTGATATGTATTATTCATTTATTTACATTTCACTATAAAAGTATACTATATTATAAGCTTTGTGAAAAAATAGTCATAAAAATGTTGAGTTCTTAAATTTTAATACAAAATTTTGTATCTTAGGGGAAACATGCAATACTGGACATCACTCCAAGTGCTGTGGACCGTTTGAACTATGCTCAGTTTTATCCCATAGTAATATTTATGAGAGCTGAAAATAAACATACAGTCAAAGAATTAAGATCACGTCTTGCAAAATCCAGTCATAAGAGCTCAAAGAAACTGTATGATCATGCAGTAAAATTAGAAAAATTGTGGTCTCATATATTTACAGGTAAATATTATAAACTTTGTAATTTAAGAATAAATCATTGTAAATTAGAGTTACTTATATAATTAAATTTTTTAAGGAAAAATATTAATATAAAAAAGAGAAATTATAAGCTTAATAAATGTGCTTGTATCAGAAATGAATATAGGAGTCAATGCAATAAATGCATTAGAATAATGCCTGCATTACTAAGTAAGCATTCATTGCTACAACTTCTATATGTCTGTTTTTAAATTGCAGTTGGTCTGCATTATTCATGTAATTTATATAATTATTTTAATATTTTAAATAAATTGTTAGAACAATTGTTTAGAAGAAGAGTGACTTTTGAACTAGTTTAAAATTTCTTTAAAGAAAGAAAATTCAAGAAAATTTTCTTTCTTTAAAGGACTTTATTCTAAATATACTCTTTATTCTTAGCCTGAATCATCTGTCAGATATTCAGTGTAGTTCATGAACTGTTTCCTTTTTTTATCTAATTATTATTTCACTTATATGTATTGTTTTATAGATTTTCTTTAATTACATGCATACTCCTTTTTTCAGCTACAATCACACTAACTAGTGCAGATATGTGGTATAAAAAATTACGAGAAACTATTGATAAACAACAACAACAATCTATATGGATTTCAGAATCAAAAGTAAGCTCTCTCTTATAGTTTAAATGCTATATTTTAATTCCTTATGGTTGAATTTTCTTTTTCTGATGGAAAGTCTTGGTTACATTGAATAAAAATATGTGATTGCAATTATATCTTCATGCAGAATCATATAATCCAACATTTAAATTATTAATATTACACAAACCAACAACAGTGCTGAAAAATAATTTTGAAGAAGAAAATGTAATTTGTGAACTAATTATATTTTTATTTGATTAGATATTTATCTAAACTACTTTTTTTTCAATATTGCCTGCAGCTGTCAAATATACAAAATTGATTGATTGATCTAAGTGTAATAAAAATATTATACTTGTAGCCAGAGGAGGCAATATCCGATGATTTCTTGTTTCCCATGACTTCTCGACTTAGTTATGCTTCATCTCCTGAAAGTGATTTAGAGCTTGCAACAGACAGTCGACCGTCAGGGTTGCAAGAATTAGGACTACCTGGTAGTGACAGGCATATGGTCAAAGCATCCAGTGATCCAAGTATTGCTACGCAAGAAGAAATGTCTGGTCCTCCAGGTTACAATCAGCTTCCTGGCTACTCAAACTCTCGTTCTCGTCAGGTACCTTTCTTCTAATACTAATTCATTGAGGTATAGTTTGCTTGAATTAAAACTCATTTTTGAATTATATTTGCTATCTGATTTCACTATTTAGTTTTATTTATTTATTTATTTATTTGCATTATAAATTGTGTGTACTTTAAATTCTAAATGTTAATCTTTCCCCTTTTATAGCTGCCTTTTGAATTTCTACAGCAGCAAGTAAGTTACTATGTTTTTTGGTTTCAAAATAAATTATTTGTGACTACTTTCTAAAGTGAAGTTTCTCTATTTTGTTCAAATAATCAGAGTAAATATAAATTAGGTAATTTTTAATGCTATGTAATATATTTTTTATTTTTAGTTTAAAATTATTCACTTTCATAGAAAATTTATAATTTTTGTATTGTGGTTAAAATACGTAATAAATTTAAATGCGTACAAGCAATAGAAATGGTAGTAATTCTTTGAATCAAATTTGTGAGTTTTATTTTTTATTAGTTGTAGAATTTTTAAATATTTATTTTTCAAAATATTATGTATGAAGAAACTTAAAGTAAGTTTTATTGTATAAAGTGTTATTTAATTTGTTAATTTGTGTAAAGTAAGTTTAATTTTGTAAAGCCATTAATTTAAAGCCAGAACTTTATTTATAATAGCTTAATCATTTTGTATATTTGAAAACTGAACTTCTGAAAATGTTTTAAGCATTAATATGTTGCTTTTCCATAAAAGTTAAAAATGTGTAAATAATAATAATTTTGGAATTTGAATTTTTTATTGCAGCTAGTTTATTAAAGTATAAATTAGGCAGACATTTTATGGTTTTCTGTTCTAATATTACAAGTAATTTAGTTTTAATATAGTTTATCCATTATTTCATATTTTTTCTTTTTTCATTATTCTAAATTCTGCTTAATGCATCATTGATTAATTAACCATAAATATGTTAAAATTTTCTTTTACTATCAGAAATTTGTAATTAGATGCTGAAGAATGTTAGCCCTTCTGGGGGGGGGTATGGAGAAAAAATATTTGTATCCATTATCACTGTGTGAAGCTCCCTACAGTGCATATGTGCTATGTTTAAAAAAGTTTTCTTCTTTGTTTCAACATATAAAAAAGATTCTTTTTTAAGGTATTTTTATTCAGTTGAAATCTATTCTGCTGGTGCTTGATAAAATGTTTCTGTTTGTCTAGGATTCACTACCTCCAGGGTCTGATGCAAGAGATTCCATTAGTACCACTAAATACAATCCAGGTAAGTACATAAACTGCATTAAAATGAAATATTAGAGAAAAATATGTGGTTTGTCTACTATCATTTTTTGCTATGTTGGCAGTATATGCTATAAAGGCATATTTAATGCTTCTCATTTAGATCTTTCTTAAATTATTATTTTGTGCTATGTTACAATAATATCGAAACTGCATGAAAAGTCCTGAATACCTTAATATGTCTTTTATTTGTTTCCCCTTGAACTGTTTTGAATTTTCACATTAAGTATACTTCTCTGAATATGTAACATCAAATATACATATCTTACAATTCACAAAAACATTAAAAAATCAGGGCATTATAAAAACATAGACTGCACTGAATTTATTTGGATTGTTGAATGAAGAGATTACTAAAATGTACTTTTTTTGATAAATTTTGTCCAGTAAAAATATTTAAGAATGTTGGTTGAATGAAATAAAAGTAAGTTTTTTGTCCATGCTTTACTTTGCTGTACTTTTTATAATAATTATGTACATAAAATTGTTTACTACTGCTTGCTTTGATGTCCTTTGAAATTTTGCTATTGTAGTTAATACTCAAGTAAGCTCAGGATCAAGTGCTGAAATTATGTTGTGCAATAGTTTTCAATTAAGGAATGATTCATTTGTTGTCTAGCCTCTGAATATAACTTATTTTTATATCAATTTTAACATTTTTAAATATAAAACTTGAATTTAACATTTAAACCTGAATGATAGTTTGAGCTTAATTTCATTAAATATATAAAAACTTGCATTTAAATGTTAATGAATTAAACTTCAGCAATCAAGTCACATAACTTTTTATAGTAGTTTTTTTTTTTTTTAAATGATATTAAAAGCTTCTGAAGATAGGTCACTGTATTAAGCTAATCAAACACATTTAAAAAAAAGTTTAAAGCATTGTCGTTAATAAATAGTAAATTTGTGTTTATACTTTCTCTTTAATTCTGTAGACAGATATAATCTCTTGTTTAGTTACATAGTTGAAGTCCTGTAACTGCTGTTTCGAGAATTCGAACTAACTTGTAAATCGAAATTTTCTTGTTTTCAGTAATTTATCTGTCACTTTCTTAACTATCGGTAGTGGTTTTTTCTGGATTTGGAACCATACTACAGATTTCGCCATTCATTACTTGATTGATGATTGAGAAGTATTGTCATCACAATGAAAAACTTCTTTTATATCATTATCATTTATTACTGCTTCTCTACATTTCTTTACAAAATCCGTTTATTGAAAAAATTTCACATTTGTTTTGCGATATCTGAAAAATTTTTAAAAGTGGCTATCATCATCAGATTTAGCTATCCTTCACTATATGGCTATGCATCATGAGCTTGGCGCCTAATGGCAAGTTGTTCCATTAACTTTTACATTGCTTCTATTGCGCACTGAGACTAAGCCTGAATTGTATTAATTTAGTTATTCATTATATGTATGTTTATTTCTTGCATGTGCTTAATGGTTATCAGAGTTCTGAATAAATAAATTTCCACAAATACTTTAGCCTTTCTGAGGACTGACGCTAGATATCTTACTGCCTGATGCAGTCTCTGTGGGTCCTAATTCTGCGACTCGGCATGGCCATACGAGCCCCGGGCTGGTTCTGGGTTTAGTGAATAATAAATCAGTTATTCTTAATTCAAATAGCCCTAACTGTAATCTTTGGGTCTATGAGTATCATCAACAAAATCTATTTTTAGCATATGGAAAGAAATTTTTGGTAAATTTTTCCTCGTCAACATTTTTTAGCGCATTTAACTTAAATCTGTAATCATCGCCAAGCGTAATGTCAACATACTTCTTTATATTATTAAATTATTAACATAAAAAATTGTTTAGGCATCACTGCATGAGTCATTACTCAAGTTGTCATGTTTTGATAAACATGTGGTAATGAAAGGAAAGTATAATAAATAATGATTTGCGAGGTCCGCTTCAGATCAACGATGTATCTATGCAGAATGTTTTGCGTGAGATGTGTGCCAAGCAGATAACGCAGCAAAGGAGCCAAATTACTGATCGCACAAATTTATGCTAAAATGATTGTTTCTTCAATAGCAAGGTATTTTATTTAGTGTCGAAGTGAAATTAAGAATCAGAACTCTCCATATGTTTTATTATGCGCAGAGGGGGGGGGATCAAACGCACATGCATAAAGCCTACAAGGAAAAGGTTGTTGTTGGTTTGAGGTCCGAATTTTAGATCATTCCGGGTAATGGACTTTTGGATTTTGTACTGTATTAATTATTTATTCAAAACACATTTGAAGTTCCTTTTTATCAATCTTAAAAGTTAATGAAAAATTTATTTTATATTCTCATTTAATTTTATTCCATTATATTAGTTCAACATAATCTGATGCCATTTGTACACCAGTCTAAGAATTTATTATTAGTTAAATTTCTGTTATGTTAATGTGAAACCCTTATGCACAGGGGGTGAGACAATATCAAAGGCTCGTTCTCCTCTTCAGCCAGAACCACCACCACGAGTGGATCGAACTAGCAAGCCAACTCATTATAGAACTGCTCAAGAAAGATTGTTTGCGCGTGGCCGCCACTCACTTTTAATAGAAGGTATCCTTAACACCTTCACCTTTGTCTATGTTGCTGCTATGTCTTCAGATTTCTTAACATTTCTAAAGTTTATAATCTTATAACAAAAGCATGAAAATCTAGTTTTTAATTACTGTTCAAAAGTCACAAATATTTAAAAAAATTTATTATTGTATTGATTTCTCACTGCCTTATAAAAATCTACAGCCAAAAATTATGATCGTTTGTTTAATGTTATTAATAAAAACTAAATATTTTAGGATGGGATTTTAGGAGTAGATTTATTAAATTATAAGTGCAAACTAAATTTGTGATATAATTTTTAGAATTAAATCATGGAATCTTTTTTAAAAAATGACAAATTTTTCCTTGCTTTAAAGTTTTACTTATTTTATCTTCACTGATAATATGAACATTAATAAAATATTTGAATTTATCCATTATCATCTCCAAAAGTAAATAACTTGGTAAAAATCATTAGCAAATGGTTACTAACAATTTTTCTGCCAATTATAGTTAATTATTATAATTAATTAATTAAAATAATATTAATAAATTAATATTATTTTAATGTTGGTTAAATCTGTTAATTGATTTGCTCTTTTAGATAGCATTCACATCAGACATTCTAAATTTAAACTCAAATTAATTATCACTATTTATTTAATTGAGATTAGTTTTGAGGATTGTATTTTTGAGGTCACCTGTAGTCAAAATAAAATTGAGTATTTAGTACTCAGCAAGTATAGATTACATATATTAATAGTAATTGTACAGAACATGTATACTTTTTTTTTTTTTTTTTTTAGTTCCTGTTTTACCCTGGGTGTGTTTTCACTTTTTTTTTCCCATCTTCCTAATACAAATTAAAAGAAATATGCTGCTTTTCTGTACTGTTGCGCTTCGCCATGGCTGTGGTGGTGGTTGCTTTTGGCTGCTGCTGGTTATTGCTTATTTATGCTCAAGTGTTATGGAATAACTTGCCCATATTTTAACCATTTTTTGTTTACTTCTTATTGTAGCTGGTCGTGATCAACGAGAGCCTCCAGATTACATTAATACTGGTGCTCAGCCACATTCACTAGAGAGACCTAATGGAAGACTGGTATGTTTGAAATTTTATTTACAGTAACTAAAATATATATATATTTTTTTTGTTTCATTTCTTTAAATCTGAGAGAATTATCTTTTAGATTGTTAATACTTTCATATTTAAGTTCAAATTATCCAAATGGATAACTTTTGATTCTTGATGTTTAATGATGTTTAAGGGAAATCTGCTACCACTTAATGTTTGATGATCAGCTGATAGGTTTAAAAAAATGTTTACTTTTACAAAGGTTAGGAAGAAATGTAGGACTTACCTAACTTTGTGCATCTCGGTAAACATTCTCTGTCTGTAAAATGTTATAGTTTGTAGTGCTGTAGGTTAACCTATAATGCACTCATGGCCTAATTAAGATAGTGTGAGAACTAAGGCACAGTATTCTTTCTTTCTGTAATGCTTGCTTTCCTTGCTTTCATAAGAAAAATCAGGATTATTACAGTATAGGGCCTCATAAAATCTGTGGTCTCGGGTCTGAGCCTTGTAGGTCTAGATAGTAAATAGGCCCTTTCAGTACTGCTGTTTATTAACCCTAGCTTCTCTGGGACAAAACAAAAAACATGTATTATTACCATATTTGCTCATGCTTCCCCACCTCCCACCTTTTTAGCGGAAAATTCTGAAAATTTTAAATATATTTGCGTTACTTTTCTCATATTCATAAATTTTAAAAAAGATTTGTCCACATTGTGATAGTTTTCATCTTATTAACTAATACAAACTCTTGCAGACTACCTGCGAATACACCAAACCTTTCTCTTGTAACTGTTGGACTTTATGCCAGCAAGAATTGACCAATCACAGTGAGGCAAACATGAACTGACATTCAGTCTACGATTTCACCGAGTCAGCTGTATATTCGCTTTCTTTAATTATTTATGGATGATTTTAGGCCTTCCAAACTAAAATATGTTATAAATGATTCAAAAAGACTGAGTCAAGGATTTTTCAATAGGATTCTTTTTAAAAACTGGTATAATTTAGTTAAAGAAAATATACGATAAAAGGAAAAGAAAATGCGTACATATCTTTTTAAAACAGAATTTATTTATGCATAGTTCTAGAAAATGAAAAGCAGTAACGGGAAAAAAATGTATAAATAAATAAATTAATACTTGGCATGCGGGCAACGTATTTTTACGTTTTTTGCAGTCTGTCACTGGAGCGCAGGTCACATAAAAATACGTATGGCATGCGGGCAACACATTTTTACATTTTTGTAGTCTGCCACTGGAGCATGGGTCACGTAAAAATGCGTATTTAGTAGATTTGTGGTGGATACCCAAATCTAGACATTATATGGATGTTGTTTGCGTTGCTTTGCATTTTTTCTTTCAACAAGTTACGATTGGTCGAGTTACTTGATCTTTTGTTGAGTTATTTCGTCTTCAATCGAATTCTTAGCTCCAGAACATACAAATTGTGTTTTGTCAATTTGAAGCTTCTTATTATTGATTAAATAAATTGATAAAATGAACCGTTGTGACAAAGATAGTGATGAAGAAATATGCACTGACAGATTATCAGACTTTTCGTATGATAGTGATTCTGAAAGTCAAGATATCAAAGAAAGTGACGATGATGAAATTATTCCACATTCTCGAGTGTTCGCCCAAAGAAGAATTTCTAGTAGTTCTGAAACAACTTCTGATGAAGAAGCAGATGAATGGTCATCGATTGACAATCCTCCAGACCTTGAAGAGTTTTTGGGTCATCCTGGGATAACTGACATGGCTAATATTCCTGAATCCACAGCTGATGCAGTAAAGTTATTTATAGGCGATGACTTTTTTGCATATTTAGTCGTGGAATCAAACAGGTGGTATTATCAAAATATGAATCAGTTCAAGATATCCCCCAAAAGCATGAAATGGAGAGATATTACGATTCCGGAGATGAAGAAATTTTTAGGGCTTATTATTTTCATGGGACAAGTTTGTAAAGATGCCCGAGATGATTATTGGTCAACTGATGTCTGCACAAGTACACTGTTTTTTTCAAAAACTATGTCAAGGGATAGATTTCGCTAAATATGGAAGGCTTGGCATTTCAATAACAATGAAGACATCATGGACGATTCTGATCGATTATTCAAAGTCAGGCCTATACTAAATTATTTTGTTGAAAAATTCAATAACATTTACATACTGAAACAACGAGTATCGTCAGGGCATAATACCTTGGAGAGGATGATTGTTTTTTAGAGTTTACAACGCTGGAAAAATTATAAAATACGGCATACTCATACGAATATTGTCTGAAAGTGACACTGGTTATATTTGCAATTTTGAAGTTTATGCAGCTTGAGGATTACATTTGATCGAAAGGATACTCACAGTAGTTTCGCCATATACTGATTATCTAAGGATATAATTCTAGCTTCTTTGAACCCTGCTATTATTGACGATGTTTTTACCGATTTCCATGCACTTTGCGACTTCTTCATAAGATGCTGTACGCATTTTACCGCTTTTAGTATACATATTCAATCCTTCACTCATCCAACACTCCCACCGCTTTTGGACTTCAGCTTAGAAGGATTTATTACCTGACAAATCTAACGGTTGTAAGATTTTTGTCAAACCACCAGGATTATTGCTTCGGTCGTAGACAATTTTTGACATTTGGTTTTCACTGACTCAAGTAAATGAGCACACATGGAATCCATTATCAATAACCCTTTTAGTTGGGAAAAAAGATCCCATACAACACTGCCAAACATTTTGTAGCCACTCATGCATGATTGTTTCGCTCATACAGCAGTTCTTGTTTGTACAAATAATTGGTCATTAGGAAAATCTCCCTTCGGGATAGTCTTTTGTTTAAAAATGATCATCGGCTTTAGCTTGTCACTGTTTGCGGCACAAGCTAACACACATGTAAATGACGTTCTTTCATGCCCTGTCGTAAACACAGATACAGTTTTTGCACCAGTTTCATCAACAGTTCTGTTTGCAGGAGAGTCGAAAGATAACGGCGTTTCATCCATATTTATTATCTGTGACCAAAGATTTTTTTTTTTGTCAATAATATCTGTCACATATTTTAGAAAAGATGCCTTTTTGTCCTGCCAGTCCATTGGTAATTGTTGCCCGACTGTTGTTCTAGTACGCACAGAAATATTTTTTTTCTTTTCATAAATCTGCTATACCTCCTTTGAAATCATTTATGTTCATTCGTTTTGCTATAAATTTTGCTTGTAAGCGAATTTTTACAGTCGAAATTGCCATTCCCTTTCCTCGTTGTTCCTTTATCCAGTTTGCAAGGTCGTCCTCTAGATTCGGCCACCTTACAGTACCACTTCTTTTGGCTCGTTTCTGTTGTGGCATATTTTTAAGAAGTTCTTTTTCAGTTCTCCAACGTCAAATACATCTCTTGTCTACTTCAAACTCTCGAGCTGCTGCTCGATTTCCAATTTGTTCAGCACGTGAAATTACATTAAGCTTAAAACCAGCAATATAGCTTCTGTGCCGTTTAGGTGACATTTTCAAAAATTTTCTGCTCCCTTCTTACTTAAAAACTATCCAACAAGTACTTGTACACAAACTGATGGGATCTGTATCTGGCAGAATGCCAAGAAAAATCGATACATGCTGAAGGGGAAATACGTCAGAGTTCGTTATTGCGAGGCAGGTGGAGTCGTGTCCGCCTTTGAAAAAAATTGCAGAAAAGGCAGGGGTGGGGAGAGGATGAGTCCTGGAAGATTCATCGAATGGCAGAGGAGAGAGACTATTCAAACTGATGAGAATGTTGATTTGAAAGGGGGAAGAATGTTATTGTTCTGAGATCTCGTTTAGGCATGTAGGGTGAATAAGGCATGTAGGTCCGTTCAAGGGAAAGAATGTAAACAAAATAATGTTCACAAAAAGCAACTGAGTGGTCTTTTGTGTGGGAACAGCACCAGTCTATGCACAATGGCATACTGGTGACATCTGCAATGACATCCAAACTATGTACAATGACCATCATAGGAAATATTTTATTTTTAGTGCACCTGAACACCGCATGGGTAGAAACGCTGCACCAGCTGAAAATTTAAGTTTTAAACACCTAAACGCCGCGGCGTTTCTTCCGGAAATTACGGTAGATCAGGCCGATCAGTATTTGTCCTACTATAGTATTTTGCGTAAAACAGTGAAGTGGACAAAGCGCTTAGTTATGTATATGATGAATTGTGCATTTTTCAATGCATATGTAGTATACAATTTGACAAAGACGCAAAAAATAAAATACAAGAAATTTTTGCACAACATCGCACGACATTGGGTTACTGATGAACTACCTGAAATCAGCACTGAAGAACCAGAGCAAATGATATCAAAACGCGACCCTCCTGGAAGATTGTCCATGGATATGCGCAAACACGTATTGGAGAAAATTGTTGGTGCCAGGAAGAAGAAAAATCCACAGAGACAATGTCGCGTGTGCGCAGTCAAAAAAAGTGCGAAGTGAAACGTGTTTCATATGTAGCTTCTGCCGTGTTCCTCTTCATAGAGGAAAATGCTTTGAATGGTACCATACTGTAAAGAACTATTAACGTGTTATCAGTTCTATTTGTACTTGTTATGAAAAAATATTTTTTAATACATTGTAAAATTTTAAAAATCATTTATTTTTGTGATTTTGTAATTTTTAAAAAAAAATTTTTTTTGTTTAATACTCATACAGTATATATTTAAGTGTAAAATAAGAAAAGTTTCTTTCATAAAAACGAAGTAGTTTTCGATTTACTGCGATTTTCCTGAATAACCATACTTCCACGCGATTCACGAAAAAACGCTCTGCTGCACTCGTAAGTTCGCGGTGAAGTATAACCGCATGCCAAGTGTTAATAGTTTAGTTTATGAACATGCTGTGTGACTCCCTGCATACAGTAATTCTAAATTTTTCATTACACTGTTTTGATTTTAGCTTATACTCTATCAGTGCTTATGAATTATTGGAATTATTAGAGAATGGCACTATTAGATGCAATTTTATGGTAATAATATCTCGGTTTTAATTTAGATTGCTCAAGGGCAAAACAAGAATAAGATATGTTATCTGATCTTATCTGTATAAAATGTAAATACATTTTTTATTAAACTATTTATGTGGTTGTTACAAGTATATTGAAGTGTTAATTTACCTACTGTACAAAGTCTTTAATCCGGACTCGTCGGGACTTCGGCTATTCCGGATTATAGATCATAAATTCAAATCTGGTAAGATGGCATGAAGAAATTATAAAATTAAAAATATGAAACCATAATTTATGAAATAAAGAGCAATTATGATCAAAAGGGTATCAAAATTTACAAAAAAAAAAGCTTAATATTTATTTGTTTACTTTATTAAACATTTCTTTCAATGCAAGTTGTTTAAGTTGCTTCGTTTTATGTGCTCTTTAATTCTATAAACAGACATAATTTCCTGTTCAGTTACAAAGTTCCGCTGTTCAAGTCCTGTAATTGTGCCGAGAATACCGACTAACTTGTCAATCGAAATTTTTTCGTTTTCACTAACCTCTCTGTCACTTTCTAAAAATAATAAGCCGGATCCAATTAGAAGATTAAGGAACAACGCAATCTACAATATTAACTGAAATAGATTAGATAATTTTAGTCTAGCTTATACCGTTCGTTATACATTAAATGCGTATGCGTAATTACGCATGCGCGGAAAGTTTGTAGCTTTGAGGTCAGGATTATAGATCATTCTGGATTATGGATGTCCGGATTATAAAGACTTTGTACTGTATAAGAATAAAACTCAATGAATAAATGCTCATTATGTAATTATGATTTTATGAGAAGAAATACAGTGCCATGAATATGAAAATTTTGCTATAAACTTAAAAATGAGAAGTTTTTTCCCATCTCCTAGAGTTAATGAAAGCATTTTTGGCAAGGAAAATAAAAGTTTTTGTTTGTTTTGTTTAATAAGGACTGATTTTTTATATCTTTAAAAATAGCAAACTAATTTTTTTTAACCTGCTGGTTTCTTAAATTTAACTACAACATTCAGTGATCATTACTGCATGGGCAGTTTTTATTTTAACAAGTTTTTTCAACATTAACTGAGCTTATCTTGATTACAATGAATGAACTAACAAATTAAGAAAATTTGGTTTGCTGCTTAAGATATTGCCTTTATTTTTGTCTTTTATTAGACATTTTATATTTGGATTCATATATAAGATTCTTTTTTGTTATTATTATTATTTATTTTTGCATGAATAACAATGCTTATTTCCTTTCAGGGAGCATTTGATAGCTCATCATATAGTAGTGACTCATATAATCAGTATTCATCAAATCCTAGTGATAAAAACAGAGGGGATCCATACCCTGCATCAGGTGTGAATAATCGTTCATCTCATGATCCTTATCGATATACCAGAAGTACTGCTCAACCACCACCACCAAAATCAGTAAATATGGAACGTGGAAGAGTTCCTCCTCCTAATAAGTATAGGTAATTATACTTCCAGAATATTATTTAGCATTCCTATGGATAAGTCATAATGTTAACATTATTATTACTGCTTTAAATATAAATTTTGTGTATTTTTTATATCTTATGTAATGTTTATAAGAATTAAGATTTCATGTTATTCATTTTAGTTTAAATGTCAATATATTTCCATCATGGTATGTGTCGAAATGAGCTCTTAGATTGACAGATTGTATCTTATAGTAAGAAATTTATTTCGGCCACAAAACTTTTGAGTTTAATAGCATCATTATATGTCATTATCAGCTACACACAAAAAATGTTGTTTTGAAATATTTCATGAGTAAACCATCTATTTTTATATCAAAAATGATGTATAGAAAACTAAATTTCAAAGTTCCAAGTAATCCAGATGACTAAATTTACAATTTATATAGTAGGCATTAAAATATCATTAAAAATTTTATATCATTTCATCTTGTTTATAACAAATAATGCTTTATCATGAAGCAAAAATGTATAATTTGTATAACCAAAATGTGAATTCTATAATATTGCAATCAGTAATAAATATAAGTAGAAAAAAATCTTTTTAAAATTGGTAACTAATTAAGTGTACTATTAAATGTGCTTTAGTTACAAATAATTTTTCACATATTTTGTGTATTGTTGGAAGATTGTTTTCGAAACTGATAACTTTGTACAGTCAAAAGTCGTTAATCTGGACTCGTTGGGACTTCGGCGATTCCGGATTATCGATTTTTCTGGATTATAGGTCATCAGTTTAAATTTCGTAAGATGGCATGCAGAAATTCTAAAATTAAAAATATGAAACCGTAATTTATGAAATAAAGAACAATTATGATCTAAAGGGTATCAAAATTTACAAAAAAAAAGCTTAATATTTATTTTGTTTACTTTATTAAACATTTCTTTCAATGTAAGTTGTTTAAGTTGCTTCGTTTTATGTGATAATACTTTCTCTCTAATTCTATAAACAGACATAATTTCTTGTTCAGTTACAAAGTTCCACTGTTCAAGTCCCGTAACTGCTGTGCCGAGAATACCGACTAACTTGTCAATCGAAATTTTTTCGTTTTCACTAACCTCTCTGTCACCTTCTTCATATCTTTATCCATTTTTTGCAGCAATTCCACTTTTTGTTTGATGGATATTGAAACATACTTTCGTTTTGTAGATCCTTTGGGAGCTTCAGCATCGGAAATTCTATTTGACATAATCGAAAGTTCAAGTTTACTTTTATAACATTGCTCTTACAGTCTGCAAAAAATAATAAGCCGCATCCAATTCGAAGATTAAGAAACAACGCAATCATCAACATTAACTGAAATAGATAATCTTAGCTTATACCGTCCGTTATACATTAAACGCGCACGCGAAAACGCAAATGCGCAGTCGTCGCGCACGTGTAAACGCCTATGTGCATGTGTCAACGCGGCGCATGCGCAGAAAGTTTTTAGCTTTGAAGTCCGGATTATGGGTGTCCGAATTAACGACTTTTGACTGGATATGTTGAATATTGGTTTTTCTTTTGAGCACTCCTGGATATGATGTACTATGTTCTGACAGTGAAAAAGAGTTGTTCAGAAATTATTTGCTTATCTAACTATGCATGTTTTATATAAGTATGACTTGACATGGTTACATGGGAACTTGCAAGTATTATTTATATTATTCTTTCCCGAGAGCAAAGTATTATCTTTCCTTTGAACTTTGCAAACATAGTAGTGTATAGTTAATGCTGAATGCATCAGAAGGTTTTTTTTTTTTTTTTAAGGCAGAATAAAAATTAAGTAAAAATTAGGCTTCTTAACAACTGCCATAAATGAAAGAAAGATTTAAAAAAATGGTTTTAGAAGACAGATGGAGACAAATATAAGACATTGCTTCATAAATTAATTTTTTATTTAAAACAGTCTATAATATTAATTTTCAAGCCCATCTGTGGTAAATGCTAAAAAGTGTTTAGTTTACTCAAAGAACATCAGTTCTCAGCTTCTTCATTAGTTCAAGGAAAAATAACACAAAGTTCAATGTATGGGGAAAATATCATGCCTGGATAAATGGAACATCTTTCATTACTATACGAAGAAGTTTGTCTTTTTCATAATGCTGCATTATCATGGATCTGATCTCAAACCCAAGAATGTTACCTTTATTGTCAACATGGAATACATATTCTGTATGAATGCACATTTAAATTGAACTTTTAACTATTAATTGTACTCAAATAAATGTTCTATACTAATGTTGTGCAATATGAAATGCCTTTGTCTCTATCTTATTATCTTCAAAATTTTTAAAAATATTTAATGTAATCATTTTAATATTAAAAATATTAACATTTAAATTTTTTTCTAGGCATCCTGAAGAACGACCAACTCCCCCATCTCCGCCGCCTAAGCCAGCAAATTATCAGCAGAGGTGAGCATTGACAGAAATCTATTCATCTGGATTTTTATCATTAAAATTTAACACTAGAACAGCAGAGTTGGGTCAGGTTGACCTGAACCGGTGTTTGTCACCATGCAAAACGTATTAATTGAAAAAAAAAAAAAAAAAAATTCCTTTTATGACTTTTAGTAATTTAAGGTAAACAGTAACTTACCGAATCTGAAAATAAGTAACATAAATATATTTCTAATTATTAACACTTATACCTAGAACGCCAGGCATGTAAATTTGACTCTTAAGAAATGTTTATGCCTAAATGACAAAAAACAGAGGCATTTTCTTGGAAGTAACAGTAAAGAAGATCTGCCACATCCTCGAATTCTTCAAATAGACTACACCAGGAGGGGAATAGTGTAGGTTTTGAGTCAAAGTCATAATGTTTGGTTCCAAATGTGAACTGTGTTTGAATGCAGTGGAATATTTTGAAAGATTTTTTGAAGTAGCTTTTATTCTATATTTAGTATAAGAATAGATAATATGTCACGAAACCATTCAGGACTGTTCAACACTTTTCAGGACACTTTGGGATATTTACAACAATTATCTGAAATTGATTCAGATTATGATGATAATGATGACAGTGTTTTGATTTTGCATAATGAGGATGAATAACTCAGTTAATGATGAAAATTCAAATTCAGATGAAGAAACTTAAAGTGATGATGGCTCTGGTAGTGCCCTAACAAACGCTGGATCTTCTCATCGCAATAATAATTTATTGGATAAAAAATAAAAATAAACAATTTTAAGAAAAGATGCGAGTGCTCAAGGAAATCTGAAAAAGAAATCAGTAGTAACATTCAAAGTAGGAAACAGTGAAGATGGGACAGTTTGGAATGTCGTACATTAGGAACAAATGATAAAGGAAGAAAATCAAAGTAAAATATTTTGAAAAAAGTTGGGGGCCCAACACCACATGTTAAACGCAGTGTTATAGACGACAGTCTGTTAAGTGCCTGGAGACTTTTCATAGATGAATGGATAATGAAGCATATAAAGAAATGCCCCGAAAATGAAGTTCATCGACAGATTCATGAAAATGAATGGAATATAACAATAGAAGAAATGGACGCTTTTATAGCAATTTTATATGCACGTGGTATATATTGTGCAAAAGGATTTGAACTGGATAGCTTGCGGTCAATGAACTGTTGATCTCTGTTTTTCTGAAATACAATGTCAAGAGACAAATTTCATGAAATAATGAGATTCTTATGCTTATAAATATAAAATCAATGAGATCAAATTGTCTCGAGACAGACAAATTTGCCCTTATTTCTGATATTTGGAATCATTTCATTGAAAATTGCCAGACTAGCTATATACCAGGTCTTAATATAACTGTAGAGGAACAGTTATTTCCTATAAAAGCTACGTGTAGGTTTACTCAATACATGCCAAACAAACCAGATAACTTTGGAATAAAGTTCTGGTTAGCTGCAGACGTTGACTCAAAATATCTAATAAATAGATTCCCGTACCTTAGAAAAGATAACCAAAGTCCATCCAATGTTTCTCTTTCTCAATATGTAGTACTGCGATTAGAAAGTCCATATCAAAACAAAGGTAGAAATGTCACTACAGATAACTTTTTCACAACAATTAAGCTTGGAGGCATTGAAATCCAAAAAACACCAGCCTTGTATGAAATATAAAACACTCAAGAAGAGAAATACCAGCCTGTAAAAATGTCAAAATCCGCATTGCATGAGACTATGTTACTAACACATAAAGACATCAATTAACTGTTTATCAAGGGAAAAAAGATAAAAACGTATTTGTTTTTGTTGCTAAGTAGTCTTCATTCAACTGCAGAAATTATAGATAGTTCCAAAAAATTACCCAATACAATTGCTTACTGCAATGCAACTAAATTCAGTGTGGTCATGATTGACCAAATGGGCAAGGAAGTACACTGTCAACTCTGCTTTACGTGGGTGGCCCGTGCAGGCTTTTTATAATATTTTGGACCTTGGTGCTATTAATGCCTGGGTTTTATGCAAAGCCATATCTGAAAAAATTATTAGTAGACCACAATTCATTCAAGACTTAGTTGAAGAACTGAGAGAAAAGTTTGTTTAATTCTGGCCAAAAGAGTCCGAAGTTCAAAAGTGAAAATGCCACAGTTCAAAATGTGAAGATAAAACCGAAGATATTTGTTCAAAACGAAAAGCACTCATTTGTGGTAAATGTACAAAACTTATTACTAAATTTTGTGCACAATGCATGCAATAAATTGGATTTTTAAAAATCTATAAAACTAGTAAGTAACTAGTAAAATTTTTATTTTTACTGTACAGTTATGTCTAAACTTATTTAAATGCTATACTTAGTTTTTCTATCAAAATTAGGAAAAATGTGTTTTAGTTTGTTTAAAAGACACATTATATTATACTTAATGAAATTTTAAATGATACGATTTTCTAAAAATTTAGGTGATTTCCATTGATTTATGTAAAATATTTAATGTAAATTCTGAGAAATATTAATTGTCACATAAAAATAAAATGTTTTATTTAACCAAAGTAATCACTTGCTCATATTTTTAGGTGTTTTCTATCTAGGGTCAAAATGACCCACACCGTGATTCTAGGTATAATGAAAGTCGTGCGCTTCTAGTGTTAAAATAAAATGTTAATTTGTAATTACAGAAGAAAATATGCATAGCATTATATGCCTGCAATTTAGGACTTGGATTTGCATGAATTCATCAAATTTAAGGTTTTATACATAGCTATACATAGCTTTAAACATCAAATATGAAAATTAAATCTTAAAAAAATGTGCCACAAGTTAACTTATTTATCATTCACTGTTAATGAAGGCTGATTGCAAAGGGCTTCCAGATGCACATATTTGGATGGAAGACTACATTATTCAGAATTTGATGGTTCTAGGTACTGATGTTTTTTTCACAGAGGAAAATACATATATACATGCAGATTTTTCATTAATAAATTCCTTTAAAAATAATGCAGTGCGATAATATTTGAGGGCAACAATTTGAAAAGTGATTTGCCATGTATAGTGGATGATGCAAAATCCTCTTTTGAGACTAATAGCCCATTTGGCCATATCCAAAGTAGTTTCAAAATCCTGTTCATTGATTGATGCGTTGTGGGTATTTAAATTCCACAGTATCTTAAAAATAACACAGTGCTGAAATAATATGAGAAAGGTTACTCCCTTTGATTACTTAGTATATAGCTAACTTAGAATTAATTTCTCACAACAAAAAGAATAATCCTTTTTTTAACATTATTAAGTAGGTTACATAATTAATTGTAAAAGTAACTTTCATTATACTCAAAGTTTACTTCACTAATTACTGATGAATCTAAAGGGGGACTAAAAAGTCTGTGGGCTAGCTAAAACAAAAATAGGATTGAAATTTTAAACTGATGAGTACAGAGTAGACTTTTAACTCATACTGTATGCATATAAAATAGAACTATGCATCATAAATTTATTTTCCATATATTGTGTTTTGAGAAAAATTCATGTTGATATTCAGTTGTCGCTGTATGTGTCATAACTTTATTTTCTATATATTGTGTTTTGAGAAAGAATTCATGTGGATATTCAGTTGTTGCTGTAATATTCAAATCTTCTTACACCTGATTTTTTCCTCCTCACTGTAAAGGTAAACAGAGCTCATCCAAAAATCTATCCCAAATATATTTCACAACATATTTATCATTCATATTTCAATTAAAGTTCATATTAAGCAGATAGTAATGTAGACTATTTTTTGATTAGAAAAATATTTCTAGTTTTTAGTGCACTTTTTATATGAATAATTTGTGTCTCATTTGTATTGAACTGATTTTGTTTTAGATCAAATATGTATATATATATATATATTATTGATCCTTTAAATATAACTGTGGACTGTAGATTTTGAGTTTTGAAAACTAAACTGCATGTAATATTACAGAAAAAATTGCTTCACACAGATGATGATGTAAATTTTCTAAAATAATTTATAGTTAATTGTTGTTAGTTAATGCCACTAAAAATATGTATTTCTGTGATGCTTAACAAATAGTTATTTAATAACATTCATATTTGTATCTAAAATTTTTGTCTTGATCGTTTATCAGGATGACCGATGGTCGACCTGTCCCACCACCAAAACCTGGCCATTATCAGTCTAGACCATGGCGTCCAGAAGAAGACGTACCACCACCTCATGGAAATATGCGGCCTCCTCAACATGACTTTTCTTCACCAAATCACCGCACATCTGAAGTTATGCCTCCACCATATACTCCAAACCAACGAAGTCGTAATAGTTTGGACTTCATGGGTTCTCCACCGTATTATACACCAAGAAGTTATCCGCCAAATGATATGCTTGTATTACCTCCAAAACACTCCCCACCACCTCCTGTACCTGATGATCAGCATGATGGCTATAGAAATCCACCACTTGGGTCACCAAGTCGTAGACATTATAAATCAGATGATAATGGTGGATTTGATTCTGGAAGGGGTAGTAGTTTGGACAGAAATTATGATGTAAGATCTTACACAAAAGCAATGGGCAATCCACCATCTTGGCCTGCAGTGCATATGAATGGTGGTGGACCATATCATAATGTGCCTTACAGAGGACCACCAAGAAGAGATCCTATATATCCACCTCCATATGACCATCACTCTTCTCCTCCACAACCACCTCCATCAAGTCTAATAGATTTATCCAATAGGGAAAATAGAGGAAGTGCATTTGAATTGTATAAAAAACCAGACTCACGTTCATCTATGGGACTTCAACCATTGACTAGTGCAGATAGACCAAAATGAATAGATTAGATAAAAATAATGAATTTTATTTTTTCATATAAGGGATGAAATTTCTTAATGGACTTTTGTGCATTTGAAATTTCCCCTTTTGCTGATATTCATACTGTACAGAAACAGCTAGAAATATGTAAATAAGACATGAAATACAGACCAGCTATGTTAGTGTACATATTAATCATGATCTTTCACAAAAACTGAATGAAATAAATGTTTCAGTGCACACTGTGTTGATTCATGTGTAATAAAAGCATGTTTTTAAAATCAAAATCTTTAAATGTTGATAATGAATGATTTATTTTGTAATTTTTGATAGTTTTAAAATTCATAATTTTAGCTATTTGTCTAAAATTATATAAGAATATTAGCAGTGATATTGTAGGCCATGTATATTTGATGATGCTTTTGTACACAAAATTTGTTATGCTTAAGGAATTATTTATTATGTAATATTTTTATACATTTTAAAATAAAAAATATGACTTTTATTATATCTTCTTGTATTACTTTTGAAAAAAATACATGAGTATTTGTAGCTTAATACATGGGGTATTGTTCTGAAACTTTTTAGGTATGCCTTTATAATGCTTTTGCAAATTTTTACAAGTTGTCCAAGTTTTTATGTAAAAATATGAATTAAAATCCTCTATAATTAATATTAATTCATTATGCAGATTAGAGAATCATAGTTATAAACTCCTTTTAAGACATTAATTAATTTATTTTAAAATTTATTCCTAAAAGATATATTTAAATTATTTACCAGAAAATATTTGTATATAATGCTTGATCTCTCATTAAATAAAAAAATTGACTTTTAATAACTTTATTAGTCAAGTTCAATATTTACTTTAGATCTGAAGAGCTTTCTATGTGAAATATAAATTATTCTAAATTTAAATTATATTTTTGCATGTAAATAATGAACATTTACATTTTGACATATGGCTGTTTAAATTTTAAAGGAAACTTTATCCAAAAATAAAACCAGTCTTCCAAAAATAAACATAAATGTTTGTCATTGAGTAAACTGCATTTGTTAATCAAGTTCTTATAATTTAATAATAAATAAATCTTTTGCTCAACAATATACATTTTATCAAAGTTACTCATAATATGTATATACTACTAAATTTATTAGGAGATAATATAATCAATATTCCTTTAGTAAATAATATATACACACACATGTACACTGCTTAAAAAAAAGGGGGACAGTTCTGTATCTCCCGTTCCACTGGGCCGATTGACGAAATCCAAATTGCGTTTTTCATGTCTCGAAAGCGCGATTTAAAATATATATTAGATTTTAGATACATCTTTGTTCTAATATAGGTATTTTGGCACCAAATCGGACTTTTTCAGAAATAACATACCGATTTTTTTTTTCTATATTTCAATTGTACGACTTAAATTATGCCTAAATATCAAATTTTGTAAAATTTGGTGCGAAATTACGGAGAAATTCAAAAATTTATCTTGCCGCATTTTTTTTTCAGTTTGCCTCAAAAATAATTCACTTGGCGAACTTCTTAATATATCACAAACTTGTTTCCTTTTCCTTCCATCGTGCAGGAGCGGAAAAAAAGTCACACCTTTCGTACCTTTTTACATTGTGCAGGAGCGGAAAAAAATTCACATCGTTCCTATTTTCAAATAATTTTAACAAAGTGCCTAAGACACATTTGATGTTATTATCGCTTTCAACAAATATGAAAAATTTCAAAACCCACCAATATATAAATTCACGTATATCTTCGGAAATTTTGAATAAAAAACTCTAATTTTTTTGCAGGTATGCTTAGAAATATATCTACTTTAAGACGGTAAAATTTTTATAGATTATAATTTAAATTTTTTTTTTCAAAAAATTTACAAAAATGATTTAAAAACAAAAATTTTAAAAATAAATTATACAAAATGGACAAATGTTATTTGGAAGGAACCTGAATTTCGAAAAGTAAAAGGAAGAATCAAATAAGTTTAATAAAAAAGAGGTAGTGACGAATGTATACTAAATTAACATTGAGGAGCTAAAGTTTTGAGGGCCAATTTTTTAAAAACTACTCATGCGATTTTTACAAAACTTGGCAGTTTGTCATAATTTGAGTTGTAGAATTGAAATATGGAAAAAAAAGTGGGCATGTCATTTCAGAAAAGTCCGATTTTGTGTCAAAATACCTATATTAGAACAATGCTATATATAAATCTAATACATATCCTAAGTTGCACTTAGGACGAGAGATATAGAACTGTTCTTTTTTTTCCCCACAGTGTACATACATACAGACAGACATAGAGAGACAGAGAGATTGTTTGAGATCTAAATAAAATATTTTATAAATTTTAGTCAACAAGCAGTAATTTTATCTTTGAAATGCAGTTGCATTTTCAAATAGGAACCATACTTCAACACACTTCGTTAATAGTTTTATTTCGTAATTGATATTATGTATATAATAATTAAATGTGTCAAACTGTCTGCTGTCCTCTAAGTGTAATAACAAACATTATGACAAATAATTCAGGTTTTTGCGAATTACCGTAATGGCTTAATTGTTTTTAGAGCAGATAATAGTGATTGGAACAGCACAGTTAGTCATTCAAAAAATATACACTTTGTTTTTTCCTCTTAATTTTATTTCAGACAGTTTTTCCCTCTAGTCCTATGTAGTCTTGTCTCACAAGATTTGCTGCTCCTTGTAGATTGTTGCTTTTTTGTCAGTCCTAAGATACCTTGAAGGAACTTCTTTCAAGGAGGAAAGACAGAGATCACACTTAGTTTCTTTTGGAATGGGGAAATTTTTGAGTTCTGGTGAACTTGCATATGGATCTTATGGCGGATGAGGTAAAACATCTCACTATACATGGCTAGTAGATCTGTCACAACCTTTCAACATATGGATATGTATTAATGTTTAAAATGATCATTCATAAGCAAACCAGGTGGTTTTTATGCTTCACAACCATTCGCAGTAATATGCAGCAGTCAAATTTTTATACTGAAATCTACTATCTTTGTCATCAAATCTTCATTTCAATATAATCACATCAAACAGCAAAACATCCATCAGGCATAAACATTTTTTCCCACAAAAGCTTTATTAAAATACAGTATAGTGATGTTGGTGAATAGTTATAGACTGAGATATTTCTTCACATGTTAACATGCGATTGCTTGATGATCTTCCTTTCTAGTCTATTACAAGTATTACTCTTCTTATGTCTATTGATATTTCTGGCCTTCCTGGCTTTCAATCACTTTTTACATCTGACTTGTTCTTCACGAAAGTGAAAAAACTGTTACCTGTTAACCAGAATTTTTACTTGCAATACACTGTCAAATTCTATTACAAGTATTACTCTTCTTATGTCTATTGATATTTCTGGCCTTCCTGGCTTTCAATCACTTTTTACATCTAACTTGTTCTTCACGAAAGTGGAAAAACTGTTACCTGTTAACCACAATTTTTACTTGCAATACGCTGTCAAATTCCGCAGGAGTTTAGTTATGTAAACTGTCACTTTTAAAATGAAATCTTTGATTTTCTTCAGTCACAGTACTCCAAGTGTTCGAGGGTTTCCCACCCCTCTTCCCCTACCACTAAGTTCACGAGAGAACTTTCGGCTCGCCGCATATTTTAAAGTGCTCCCATGCCGCAAGGACACTATACATTTACAAACATTCATGCCTTTTCCGGGATTCGAACCTGGGCCCTTCGGGTACCGCAGTAGACTTCCCTAACTACTGTACCGTCTGGATGACCCCTGCACTTATACCTAAACTAACCTAACCTACATAAGGAAAATCACGAAAACTTCAAAAAACTAGTACGTTTGCAGGGATTAGAACCGACTTACCAAGCCTACCCGTGTTCAGATTTTACCTCTCGGCTGTTGGTGGGCACTTTTCATGGGCGTATCCTCCAGTCGAAAATAAAACATACTGCATCGACGATTGTGGCCGCTTCTGAGATGACGCAGTTTTTGGAAAGCATAACCTAAAACAAAAAAACAAAAAACTGCAATTAGTTAAATGCAACTAGAGCCTAGAAGTAAAAATTTATAAAGAGTGAGACGTTTCTGCCCCTCATCAATTCACGATAATAAAAAACTACGGGTAAGAGGCAGTTTTTTTATGCGAAATTCAGGTTAAGCAGATCCTGTACGTTAAACAGAAGGAAGTGGAAAAAATCAATAATATCCCATTGTTTGAACCACAACTTTTAGTTTCTTAGACCAAAATAATTGCTCACAGCATTTCGTCCCTTAACTTAGATTTCTGAGGAGCTGTCGAAAGTTTCCTTCACAGCCATCTTACGACTGGCGCAGCTTCTACTGTGTTCTTGTTGGAAGATTGAAAAAATTTATTCCGAGTATCACCGCTTCGACGCACCCTTCGACGAAGCACTTCAACTTTCACGGGAAGTACTGCAACTTCTACCATGTTCACCGCAACCTCCTCATTTTGTTAAAGCTGGTCTAAATTATTAAAAAACTGCAGTCAATGACATTTTCCTGTTTATTTTTGCTTATTTTTACTCAGAATTTCTTTATTTGTTTCCTATTATAGTGAGCAAAGTACTTCGCCCCCCCCCAAAGTATTTTCACTGCCACAAGTATTATTAAAATGTAATTTAATGAAAGTGTAATTTAATGACTGCATGAAAAGGAAACGTTTCAAAACACCATGTTTTAGTTTGGAGTAATTATATAGATTTAGTAACTCAGAGTAATTTAGTTGTCAGTAAACTCCTTCAGATTAATAACTTGGGCTTTATTTGCAATCAATTATTGCTCGTGGTGTAAGTGTGATTAGCACCTTCATCTGGCAGCTGCAAGATCCATGGTTCGAACCCAGGCCAGGGCACAGCTGATTTCTCAGTTTTACTATGTCTGAAAAAACAGAAAAATATATCTTTGGCGCCAGAACTAAAATATGCTGGATGATAATTTGTCACCAACTGGATTTTACTGGTTGGGTTTTGCGCTTCTTTCCAGTCGTATTTCAAAGCGGAGGCAAATATAAGGAATTATTGTATTTCTATTTATGTACTATCATGGCGCAGGTGGGAGCACATCCATCTAGCATCGGAATATCCGTGGTTTCGAATCCGGGGAAGAGCATAGTTGATTTTTTGCGTTCTTGGCTCCGAAATGTCTAATGGCCGCTACATATTGACTGAGACGATTACTGGAGGAGTTAAAGCATCAAGAATTAGCATAAATTTAACGCTGATTTTTGTTGCTTTAACTCCTCCAATAATCAATATTTAGCGGGTTATTTTAAGTCAAATAAGATGATAAATCCTAAGATATGCCTGTCCCCATATTTTCTTAAAGTGAATCGCAAATTTTCACTAATAATACAATTTGGGAACCATGAAGATAAGCAATAATCTACATCCTACGTAAAGAAAATTGATAAAAATAAGAAAGAGGTAGCATTCCTTAAAGAACATGAAAGGAGACCGATATGAGTTGAGTGAAAAAGATTGATAAATTGTTCCCATTTGGACAGAATCAGATTTAAGTGCTCTCGTAAAAAGGAAATACGTATACGTCAATAGGAAAATTTACGTGTTGCCGGTTAGAAAATATTATCTCCTTTCGTGATAACAATATTTTGAGATAGCAAAAGAAATATATAGTCTGGCGTTTCGCTTCAGCTTTCTACTCACATTTGCTACTTAGAATCCTCAGTTCACAAGCCATTTTTGTCAAGTATGAGTAGAAGCACGGTAGGTTATTGGAATATCCGCGGGTTGGCTGAACCCATTAGATACCTTTTACATTACAAAAAAGTAGATTTTGAGGACAAACGTTATGGTGATTGGCAGAAGGATAAATTTCAATTAAATCTGGATTTCCCTAACTTACCTTATTACATTGATGATAAGGTGAGGTTGACTCAGAGCACAGCTATCTTAAGGTACTTAGCAAGAAAGTATGGTCTAGATGGCAAGACGGAAGAGCAAACGGTGCGTATCGAGTTAGTTGAACAAGAGATCTCCGATTTTCGTACACGTTTTATGGAAATGTGCTACAATCCAGAATTTGAAAAGCTCAAGGAACAATTTGTGAATAGTGTTCCAGCTCAACTGAAGCTTTTTGCTGCATTCCTTGGAGACAGAAAATTCCTAGCTGGCGATGAGGTTACTTATGTTGATTTCATGGCGTACGATACATTCGACTTCTATCGCTATCTCATTCCTGGAGTTTACGACGATTTTCCTACTCTCAAAAGCTACCAAGACAGAATAGCAGCTCTACCCGAGTTACAAGAATATTTCCAGTCTTCAACTTACAGACGATGGCCGATTTGGGGGCCTACAGCTTATTTCGGACGAAAAGGACCAGAGCCAAAGAGAGTGTGACTTAAGTGTTTTGTTTCAGAGTGACTATTAGATCCGTGGATCAATATTAAATAAATTTATTTTAACATTTGTAAAAGGAATTTGAAGTCAGCTTCTCTTCATGCGACTATGATAGTAAGCTTAACCGTATGTAGATAAGCTTAACGGTATGTGTAAGTATGAAATGTGTGAAATAAGTATTTCTATGAAATAAGCTTAACAGTATGTAGAATTGTTGTATCAAACTATTTCTTTGATATGAGTGTCATTAAAAACATAACTATAAAAATTTAAGCACATGCATGAATTTTTTGATAAATTTTGTTCGGACAATTGTATTAATATCTTTGTTTATAAATGTTAAAGAAACTTCTTTAGCACTTTGGTAAAATTAAAATGTATTTTTAGAGTGAATTTAACCAGGAAAAATCTGATCCGTGTTTTTTATTTGTGTGGAAACCTTTTTATACTTTCTAGTAGAATTTTTACATGGTGCATAATCGTGAACATCTTCTCCGGCTTATGAAATAGTATCGAAATTGTGCTTTTTTTTTATAATTTTATGTATTTTCATGATCTTTCGTTTGAATTTTTAAAATTTTATTAACCTAGCTGAGCTTAACTAAACTGAGTTTTATTAAGATTGCTAGCGGAAACTTCATGAGCTTTTGAAATTAACACCTTACAATTTAATTATTAATTCATACTGCTGATGTTTTGCTTTAGCTTTTCAAGCTTAACAGCAGTTTAGTTTCGTTTGAGAGTTATGTTAAAATTTATTTCAGTATGTATCTTACCATTTTTGCAGTCTCCATTTCCATGAATTCAAATTATGAAAGCACTATATTGCCACCTTGAGTGAAATTTCCTTCATTCTCCTAAACTAGCTGCGTTTTATTTTTTGTGTGAGCCACTACAAGAATAAAGAATTAAGGATAATAACCTTTCTTTAAGTAATGTAATATCCTTTTCCAAATAAATATGTAAAGTATAGAAAAAAGAAGTACTGTGATAAACTTCAGTGGACTGGTAAAAAAATAAAATATGGCTTCATTAAACAATCAGGTGCATAGTGCATTAATAATAACAGTAATAAGTGCATTAATAAGTAGAAAAATTATTAGTCTATATTTAATCATAAAAAGGTTATTAACAAAGGAAATAAATGTAAAGTCTAGAAAAAAAGAAGTAGTGCAATAAACTCCGATGGACTGGTAAAATAATAAAAATACGGCTTCATTACACAATAAGGTGAATAGTGCATTAATACTCATAGTAATAAGTGCATTAATAAGTAGTAAAAATGATTAGTCTTTACTTAATCATAAAAAGGTTTTTTACAAAAGAAATGTTTATAGTACACAGACAATAATGTACACAGACAATGCCTTAAATTATAATATAATCTAGAAATAAAACAGTAATAGAACCTTATAACGTAGGTAAAGCTATGGAACAGAGCTAAGAAATAAACAGCAAAAATAATAAAATAATAGGAAATAAAATCTTCATTGGGTTAATCTATAGTAAATAAATATGAATCAAATAAGCTCAGTTTCAAGCAGTAGTTTGCATCAAGCAGGTTAAAAATATTCTTCACAGTAAACCAGTTTATTACCAGAAATCTGTCAAAATCCTATTTTTTTTTTTTTTTTTTTATTTCTCAAATATTAAATTGAATATTTGTCAAATTGGAGATTCTCATTTTTCTTCACGTTTGATTGAACTTTAAGAAATACAATACAGATTAATTAGCTTAAAATGATCTCAGTATTCCAAACAAAAGGTTTTTCGCTTTATGCAGTTAAGTATTACTTAAGTTTTATATCTTTGCGTTACTTTCAACACATTGTTTAATTTATTTTTTAGCAAATGCATCAAAACCTCGCAATTTCTTATTTTAGGCATAAAATGTGTTTCGGTTTAATTTACTTTTTAAATTAAGTTTTTTATGTAATTGCCATTGCTTTCATATTATTTATAAATTACTGAAATATTAAAAAATTTAGAAAATATTTAAGAAAACCTTTTTCGGTTCGTCAATTTTCATAATTTCTAAAATATTTCTTTCAAGATACGTTTAAAATGACTTTTATGTTTCAGCTTAAATTTTCTACAGAAATATGCACTAGCCTTTCAAAAAATGCATTGATGGTTATTATAATATAAAGTCTCTTATACTACGAAAATAAAACATATAACAAATATTGGATATTCCAAGAAGGCGGCTACAAGCTTTATTTTCGTAATTATCGATTCTAAACGTATTTTTCTGGCTATAAGATTTCTTAAAATAAGGTAGAAAATTTTTATTTGCCATTTTTATTTCAATTTCAAAGGTAAGATTAAAATTACTTTTTTTATGCGGTCAAAGTAAAATACAAATGTTAGCTAATAAAATGTTCATCCTGCTCTAACAAGTTATACGAAGAAAGATTCTTTGAATGCAATATTCAGCAAAATATTTTCTATTGCAAAGGAATTATAGTAACCGCAAAGACAATAACATATTCTGTTTCAATGAAAACGAAAGATTTCTCTCCTTCTTACAAAATAAGCTTTCATTTAATACTTATAAAATAATCAATGAATTAAAAGAAGAAAAATAATTTATCGCGCAATTTAATGGGAGCAAGGAGTTAAATAACTTTCTTTACAAAATTAATCTATAATTTTATACTGCGAATAATAAAAGCGTGGAGCACACTGCATAATTTAAGTTAACGACTTGCTCTTTCGACAATGCAGTTCGATTATTTGATTTCGGTATTTAAGCATCCCCGCGTTTATTATTCGTGGTATAAAATTGTAGATGAAGAGACGTAATTACTTTATACTTCCCATTAAACTACATGATAAATTATTTGGCTCATTAATTGTTTTATGAGTTCAAGCGATTTTCGAAAATTCGCCCAAACATCAGGAATTATTTAAAAAATGTCATTCAAAAGATTTGTTTCTGCTCTATTTGACGACGCAAATAGTAAAATCTTTTACTTCTTTTTAAACAAAGCCATGTGTGAAAAGTCGTTTAAACTTACAGAAAAAATAAATAAACATAACAGAATAAATAAATAGACTTTTGAAAAAAATCGCTTCACTGCATTATATTATCATCATTATTATATTATACAAAATAAGATATAGATAACTTACCAGAAAATAGTTTAAAAATCGATGACGAACTTTTGACCACAGCGACAAGCAAACTAAATGAACGCTTATAAAAATATTAATTTCTGAATCAATTCTATCTTGTAATTACAAGTAAAATTTCAGGGATTATTTAATTTAAACTGAAAATGTGTATTGGGAAATGATTAAATTAGTATCTTTGTTTTTTAATATCTTCACGAATTTTCTTCTAAAAATATGGAACTTTGCTTGTTTAATTTATTAAAAATTCGTACTAATTATTTTAAATTTCATTTTGTGCTTTGCAAAAATTATATAACAAGTCATTTTGCGTTTACATGAACTTTCTGTCTTGAGTGCTAAAGCTTGTTTTAAGAAACAACTTTGCAACTGAAATACGCATCTAAGTTCAGTATTTAATAAAACAAAATATATATTAGACTCTTGAAACATTTTGAAGAATATATATATGTATATATATATATATATATGATGCGACAAATAGTATATCAAACTTACTTTACCAGGAATGAAGGCTTCATGCACAACGGCACTACATATGAAGAGATCCATTTAAAATAATATTACGATGCTTTCAGATTGTAATTGCTACATTCGCATTCTTATTTATCAATGGGAGAAAAGCCTCAGTCCATTTGGCAGCTAAATTCAGTTTTGGCATCAGAAGATTAAAATCAGAAATAAAATACTGAGACTAACTGTTGCAATATGAAAATGCTGTGCTTGTAATTAGTCATCAGAAACTTTACGGATACATAACAATGAACAAACTATTATTAGATTCACTTCTATCATGTCTGAGAATGCCAAAGTTTGCACTGGCACTCAACGAATCCTAGAATAAATTTTCCTATAGTATATACATTTATTTAGGATTCACTTTCAGTACTTTCATGGTTAAATTCAAATTTTAAGTTTGAATACAAATGTAGTCTCAAAAAAGGGTACAGTATTAAGAAGTTAATATTATTAAAAAGAAGACTATTGATATAGGAAATTAATGCATTAGTAAAATGTTCATCAATGGGCACATAAAACACTTGGAAAATGTTTGTTTTTCAAGTTTATGAAGGGAAGTGTACCCACCAAGTTCCTAAATTAATAATTGAAAAAATATTATAGGCCTTCCCCACACTAGCGAAGCGAGGGGAAGCAAGGGCTCGGAGCTTTGCTCGCAGGGAGAGGACAAGTGGTCCCAAGACAACAACAACAACAACACAAAAAAAAAAAAAAAAAAAAAAAAAAAAAAAAAGATTTCTCGGGGAATTTCAATTTTTATTTTGATCGATTTCTGGAAAATATATTTTAAATTAATAACAAAATATAAGTAATTGTTTTCTTTCTTGATTTGTCTGCTAACGTATATGTGATAAATATTGTTTGCAGTAAGCCAGTCAAATATCAAAGTATGCAAAACGTTTTTTTTTCTTTCTTTCTGAACAATTTATTTTTTTAAAACAGCGATATATTTTTATTTTTTTAAACGAAATGCACGTTTAACTCAAGCATGTTATGTTAAAATGATAACAGTACACGACAGTCTTTTATTATATTATAAGCCCTTCAACCTTGGACTATTATTAATTCGGGGGCCGAAATATAACTTTGTTATGCATTTTATTTTTTAACATGTTTTCGAAGATTCTATTATTCAGTGTAGTATCAGTAAAATTGTTAACAGTTTTCAATAAAATAATTGAAACGATAGATAATATTGAAATTTTATTGCTATATTGTTTGCACTTCGAAACAAAGTAAGCTGTCATTTTTATAATTTATTTACTGCTGCTGTGTTGTTCGAAAGTAATATCTCGATAATATAATAAAAATATTTTTTTATTTAGACCATGCCAATGCCAGGGAAAATATTAGGGTTTTCTAAATCGTAAAAGGAAACTAGAATAAAGCTGCTATCGAACCAAATTAGTACAGAAAGGATTATTTGTGGATCCCTCATATTTCAGCACGAATCCAGTCTAAATGCAGAAGCAACACCAGCTAATCGTCTAAAATCCTGGTTCTTTCGACAGGTCAGTAATGAAGAAGAAACTAAGTTAATCTACTATCTTGCTTATTATATTCACCAAACAATAATGCAGGGTACTGCTTTTTTTGCTTACTGCTTATTATACCAAATTCTGCTACACAGTTATCTTTCGTAATAACAACTGGTTTTAATTAATGGAGGAAAAAACGATACATTGGTTGCTATGAAAGAAGTCCAAATTATCGAAAATCGTTTACAACTTGAAAGAAACAGGAAGAAGATTAATTAATAAAACGGAAATCAATGAATCTTGCTTACTGTTTATTATACCAAATTTCGCTAAACAATTACCTCTCACAATAACAACTGGTTTTAATTAATGGAGGGAAATAAGATACATTGATTAGCTAAGAAAGAAGTTCAAATCATTGAAAATCGTTTACAACTTGGAAAGAAACAGAAAGAAGGTTAATTAATAAAACGGGAATCGGCGACTCATTATAAAGCAAATACACAGTTCGAAAAAGAAAGGTGTCGAAATATATTGTAACGAATACATTAGCTTGTTTGAAGTACTTGATTATACAAATTCTTCCTCATCGTGGTCATGTTGAAAATCTAGCGCTTCAAGATAGTTTAAATGCCGGAAACCTATTATATCTTTACTTAAACTTGTAGCTCAGTTTTGTCCATTACCAGGAAATCATCTTAAAATGGCATGGAGGCCCACCAGCGGCCGAGCGGTAAAGTCGCTGAACACTGGTAGTTCGGTCAGAGGTTCGAATCCCGCGAACTTGGCATCCACAGTTCGAAATCAACTAAGTGATATCAAAAGAAAAAAATATGATAGACTTTTATTTGATTTGACTCCTGATATCATTCATAGAGAGCAAATGTTGCACGACTTTAGCATGCACATATTGATTTTAATGACAGAAAAGCTTATATTAAAAAATCTTTTTTGGTATTAAAGTGGTTAGCGTTATTGTTGATGGAGCTATTAGAAAAATGAGCAGACAACAGTACTACCACAAGTGACACCAGCACTGAAGCCACAGTGTTATTGCAGAATATATTGAATTTTAATTTCATAACTTTAGTCCATTTTTGGCATGAAATAGTGAGACGAACTGAGCATGGGCAGCTCAGATTACAAGACCCTAAAATGAATTTATAATATATATGTAATATATTATACAACAATCTATGAAATGTAATATATTATATCTTTACTTAACTTGTAGCTCAGTTGCAATGTGACATATTATAATATATTATAGAGTATTTTAAGGTAGGTACAGCATTCTACTTTTGTTTGTATTGCATTTATATTACGAATATATTCTGTATATTATATTATTATATGTTTTTTTGGAGAACGGGCGCTAAAAATGTGTCGTGCCCCGGCCTCCAGTTATGCTTGCTACGCCACTGTTCCCTACGTAATTTCAAGGAGGCATCCCATTCTTTTGTCAGAAAGCTCTCGCGTGCTTTGTTATAATCAAACAAACCATACTATCTCTCGCTTTACTAAGGTGCAGCATTCCCTTCAAATTTTTCATAAACTGAAATGTTAAAATGGAAATTTATTTCAATCAAGTACCACAAATCGTACGAAGGTTAGGGTTTGGGGATTAAAATGTCCTCTCCCTATTTGATCGCATTGACGATTTAAAAAAAAAGTATTAACGCATTTTTTGTAAACACATTTAATCCATAATAAAGGCCTCAGTTTGCATTTATTTTTACTTCCTTGTACGAAGTAAAAAGGAAGTATTGCAATCGCGAAAAGTTTCAGGCAGCATATTTCAACGAAAATATTCATTTTGACCGCTATCGAATGCAATTTAACGATGTTTTTGCGTGATATCTGTACGTAAGAACAGAATAAAAGACTCGTTTCCTCCAAAAAAAATTATAAAATTGCTTTAAAATTAATTCTGAAGAGAATTTTTCGTGGCGTCTGTACTAACGCATGTACGTACGTGCGTGCGTACGTACGTACGTACGGATCTCGCATAACTCAAAAACGAGTAGCCTCAGAACGTTGAAAGTTTGTATATAGGACTGCTATAACATGTAGATGTGCACCTCGTATTTTGGTTGCAATCGGCAGCACCAAACGTATATAAATATATTTATATATATATCCACTCTATTACCCGGCTCAGTGATCTCAGTTTCTTTACTCTTATATGTTTGTAAATTGTACATTTTTTGCTTTAAAAATGATTGAATTATGTTGTTCTTATCTTCCGGTTAAGGATTTATGCCTTTAGTAAATCTGTGTGCAATATTTTTAGAATTATCAGCAATTTTAAAGTTGTTTAATTGCCGCTAAGCCTGTTTTTAATGGCGGCCTTTGATGTTTACATTTGAAACAGGAGACTAGTGGATTTGTTGCCAATCTAGAGAAACTTAGCTTCGCAACAACAAAGATAACGCATTCATTTATTATTGCCAATTAAATCATGCTTAAATCTTTCTGGAAATTTTTCGAGGAAATAAGCGTTTGAGATTTACTTCGTAATTTTTAATATAGATATTTTGAGTTTTTATGTATTTTTGCCTTCTCGCGAAGTGAGAACTGAATTAATTGAATGAGAAATACTCAATCGTCTGTGAAAAACTGTTCTGTTTTGTTTTATTTGCTTAATTTCTTTTATACATCATTCTAGCTTTATTATTTATTATAGTATTTGAATAGAACATGTAGCAACGATTAGATAATTCTATTCTTTAAATAATATAAATTTTGTGCATTATGAGTTATAATATGAATGAAATATAATACTGTTAAGTGAATCTAGCGCCAGAGTGTCGCTATGGTAAACAAATACTAGAGTGAATTTTAAAGAATGCATTTATTCTATTGTGGTTTATGCGCTGTCGGCGAAGTAGATTAAATTCAATCCAATAAGTTTAAATGAAATGCAAGAAAAAATGTGTATAATTTAATATTCCGTACAAGGAAGTCATGTGGTGTACACATCAGATTTTTTTGCATTTATTTTCATTCTTGAAATTACAAGTCCAGTGATATTAAAATTGTACAGTACTGATCTTCAAAAAACTGTTTTAGAAGTGTTTTGCATTTCCTCCAGTCTTTCGGTTTTCGACAGATTGCTGTTGTCATTTACGTTCCGGTGTTTGCAACGCTATTTAATACGTCCCTGATCCGGTCTTATGTATTTTCTCCTTCTTGGTCTTTCGATACAAACGCGTTCGTGCACCATCACTCGATCGGGATTAAAAGTCCTCCCACAATGTTCGCAGGGAACCAAGCTTCGAAGATGACTCTGGTATGCCGCCAGTTGTTCCGGATCAAGATCTGGTATTTTTGTTCTTTCACGCTTAGGTCCTGGAAGAACTTCTGCAATTGCAGAATTTTTAGGTATTAAACATTAAATCTTTAAACGTAAGTTTGTTTCTAAAAATAAGTTCCATAAATCCAAAAACTAAATATAATTTTTACTTATATCATACATGTGAGAAAAAGGTCAGAGCGCAACATTAACATTCTTTTGCTAATAGAATATGCATAAATAAAATTGATTTTTGATAGTATCGATACCACGTTCAGTGCAAGGGTGATAACAAAGATGACAAGGAAACAGATCATATAGTAAGTGCATTTTTTTTTTCATTGGCATTGAGATGTTCGACTTGTAAATCACAGGGCTCTGTTGAAGCCCCAAAGTTATTTACTACTTTCAGTAATAATGAGACATTTGTGGCGCCCCATTTCTCTGCCTTAGTAACAGTACCTTCACAAGTACGTAAGCACTTCAATAATATCTGCATCCCATAGAAAAGAAACTTCTGGTTCCCCATGAAATCGCTGAAGCCACAGACATTTCTTTCAGATTCTAACTCGATTTCTTTTGGCGAATATCTGCTGATTTCATTGAGTATCTAAAATTCAGATCCTCGCCTGCTACCGAGTAGCTATTGAACTAGTAATTTAATTCAAGTTCAAATCCTAATGATCGTTTTGTGATTTCCTCCATATGTAAGGTTTCCTTACGCCGGAAAAGTGCATTCAATGCTCTTCTTGTAATAAATTAGTGTCACGTTTGCATAATGGAATTCGGCAACGTCAAAAACAAACGAGAGCCAAACGATGTATTGGCGAGAGTGTATGATACTTATGTTCCGAAGCAAGAAGTCTTAAAAAGATTTTATACTTGCATTATACTTGTGCTTCCATTCGTTTCAGCATTTTACCTTCTGTTATGGAATATACTCCTGATAATATTGCCTGATAGGTAAATCTGAAGCTATTTAAAACTTATAAATGAATCTCTTGTAAGTTTTTTTTTTCAACACTTCGATTTAAACGTTTGTAAAGACTGTTAACTTTGATTTCTATTCTATTTGTGTTTTATCTGCGTTAAGCAAACTCTCTACCGGGTTAAATAATGATTTCGTAGTTATTCTAATTCATGATTCTTTAATAAAACTGTGCTAAAAAGAGAATAGTGTACTCAAACGCCTTAACTGTGTTAAATGCACGACATATCAATGATTATAAGACTGTAATAAGTTTGAAAGTAATTTAATAAGTTTGAGAAGTTTCACTTTTGGAAATATTTCTAAAAGTTGAAATTATAAAACTGAAATGATATATTGTTATAGGATTCCAGAAGCATAAAATATTAAAACTTTTTTGTTGCTGAAAATTCTAGTTACAAAAATTATAAATAATGTCTATTCTAAAAGAATCAGTTTATATGGGAAAATTAACGGTACTTACGTATTAACGCAACCAGGCCAAAATTCGCATAAATTGCCAAATTTGGCGACCCTACTTACGGCAACCCTACGTGTTATACGTAGTTTTGTAAAAAGAGCATGTGGAGATTCACAAAATTTTCCTGCATTTTCGTGCAAATTTTTGTAATTCATGAGAAAATAGCAGTGTAGATGGATAAAGTTAAGAGTGTGCGCAATGCCATTTTTGTGCAATTCTGGGATGTTTTTTTAAGTTAAAATAAGTCGACGTGTACATGGTTATGGCGAATCGTGGAGGACTTTCTAAGAGAAACTGGCTCGTATACACGTTACACATGGGGAAAACCACGAAAATACCCATGCAGCCAGCCCGTTCGCGGGATTCGAATCTCGGCTTTAAAAGGTAAAAGCGAAGAGAAATCAAAATACCATGTTACATAATTTGTACTTATTTTTAAACAAATAATCATACAAGAAATGAATATTTTCATTTAAAACGCAACGCAAGGATTTTCCAGAAAATAGATGTACATAACAGGGCAGTGAGACAATATTCTGAAAATTATAAAACTAGTGCATGTCAAATGGCAAACACTCAAAACGTAGAAAATATAAAAATGAAACAAGATAAAGAAAATAAGTATCTTAAGAAAGTATTGAAAATAAAGATTCGCAGATTCAGTTTAATCATAAGGTGGAACATGGACATAAGTCAAAAACATAGGAATCGGTTACTGACTCAGAAGTATCAACTCATATGATGAGTGATAAGAGCTTTTCTTCTCTGTTAAATAACTCAAATAAACAAATAGTAACCGTAGCAAATGGTGCTAAATTGAATTCGTGTGGTGTTGGTGAAAGCTATTTTAAAATTTAAAATTTAAATGGTCAGATAACACAAATCAAATTAGAAAATGTATTGTATGTACCAGATTTAGATAGTAACTTACTTTCTGTTCAATCGCGTACGAATAAAGGTTGTATTGTTACATGTGATATTAATAAGTGTACCATTAAATGAAATAATGTACTTATAATTGATGACAATGCGAAACAAGGCTTATATAAATTGACCGCAAGCCCAATAGACGAGAAAACTTTATTTAGTCAATTGTATTACATGTTCTAATACAAACTGCGTACTAAAATGGCATGAAAGGTTAGGCCACAGAATGCGATAAAAACACTTGAGAAAAATCATCTAGCAGACGGCATTAAACTTGCAAATGCTCTCACAGTGATGAATGTTCAACATGTACAAAAGCAAAACTAACAGAAAAACCCATGGAGGTAGGAATTAAGATGGAGTCGCCTTAAACAAGTTTCTCCGTACCCTGCTCTGAACAAGTTTCTCCGTACCCTGCTCTGAAGCACCGGCGATCCCTACGTGGTGACCAAAACATTGGGTCATTTACCATTGAGTTCTATGGGATTTGACGCGTTCGAGTGTAAATATTTTGTTTGTAATTACGTCGCAAATATACATATAAATGTATATATTTTCTTTTTCTACAACACTTCAGAGTCCTAAGTATGTGAAAACAACATATTTTTAAACAACATTTCATTCTGAACGGAATTAAATGCTATACTTTTCGTAGAACAGTTTTCTCGGAATGGTTTAATTTGAATGAAATATTTTCACAAGTTTTCGTTAATTACATTAGAAAAAAAAAATTAAGGTAATTCGATTTTATTCGGTTAAGGTACGAAAGTTAAGATCAAAGTTTATTGTATTATTAATATTAAAATTATGCATTATTTCTTTTCTATTTATAGAGCTTCTTCCTAAAATACTTTCTTTAATATGACATGATTTTTTGGCTTCTTTTAAATCGAAAAATGTAAGTCAATTTATAATTAATGCTCTATTCGGTTCATTTTAAATTAGAGAATTATTAGGAATTAGCGAAATACTTTAAATAAGTATTTCGCTAATTTCTAATAATTAAATAGGTATTAAATAGTATTTCACTTTCTCTGAACATTTCTAAAAGGGAATAAAATAAGTTTTTTTTTTTTTTTTTTTTTTTTTTTTTTTTTTTTTTTTTTTAAGTATTATTTAAAACTTGTAACTGAGTTATTATAAAATGTAAAGGGAATAATTCTTTTAATTATACTTATCAGATTTTTTTTTGCTCTTCATTTCAACAATACATATTCCAAAACTCTTTATTACGTTCTTAAGTGCGCATCTCATAGCATTTGCTTTACAATACCTTTTACAGATTGCTTTCCAATACGAACAATTCTTGCTTAAATAGTTTTATAACGTATTTGTCAACAGGATTTCAGTTTATGTTTACAATTCAATATTAAGGTTATTATATATTTAGATAACATTTATAATCATTATAAATTAGATACATTTAATAATTGGATTTCTTCACAGTACTTTCACAGTTGTTTATAAGTGAATAAATTCTTCATTTCAAATACATTTATAAATAATTTAATGAATATTTAAGTATTTTGTCAAAGGCAGATACATGCTTTTTGCAAGCACATGCATAAATACCCATACATATTTCCTATTTATCATTTCCGGCATGTGCAAATCTTTAATTTCTGTGCATTCACTATATTTTTCGTGTAAAGTAATTTACACTAATTTAGCATACACCAGAAAGTTTTACATAAAAAATATATATGAATATAATTTGAATGAAAATTATAAGTATAATTTTTAATACCCACTCAAAGGTCAGTTTTTCTTCAAAATTCCTCCACGATGGCATCTCTCTCTTTAGGCAGATAGCCCTTGCATGCGTTACTCTATTTAATAAAAACTTAATCTGACCTATGTGCCTAATTACAAATATTTTAACATACATAATTTTATATTTACATTTAGCCATCAAGTTTCAAACTTTTCAAATCTTCTAGAAAACAAATTTTGGCAGATCTCTTTTAGCAATTTTCTTAAAATCTATATTTTTGTAGTGCAACTGCTTAGAATTTTATAAAACAAATTCATAATCAAAATCGCTGTTGTTAGTTATCGAAAAATAACCAAGATGTGATTTTTGCGTAAATGTCAGTAAATTATACAAATTGCTATTATCCATCACACTATGAATGTTTCTTTCATGCGAGAGTGTCCCTTTTTCGATTTCTATGGGACTGTCGTGTGTCGAAATACTATCAGAATCTTGTCAAGCGAGCTTCTGAATGTAAACAAAGAACACCCCGTCTGGTGACCCAAGCTTCAAAGCAGTGCTTCACTTCTAGCGCGGAATGGCCCCTCCTCGATTTCCTACCTCCATGGAAAAACCTTATCCGAAAACTAGTTTTGGGTATAAGACTCCACTAGATTTTAGTGCGCACAAATGTGTGTGGTCTAATGGAAGTTAGCAGCTTGGGAAGAAAAAATATTTTCTAAACTTCATTGATGACTATTCGCGTTATACTCAAATTTATTTTATTGCTTCAAAAGATGAAGTATTATATAAACTTAAACAATATGTTGCATAGACAACAAATAAATTTAGAAAGAAAATAAAGTTTCTCAAATCTGACAACGGTACCGAATATGGTAATGGTGCTATTGGAAATTATTTAAAGAAACTTAATATTTTTCATCAAACTTCGTTACCTTAAGCCCAACACAGAACGGCGTCCTAGAAAGACAAAAAAAAA